ACACACAAAGAGACAAATAGACACATCACTGGACAGAAGGGAGCCCTGAGAAGAACAAGCCAGGACATAATCCACATATTTTAGGCTGGGAGGCCAAATTCTACGTCCAAGTGGGAAATGGGAAAAAGGAGGACAAGGGAGAGTCTGGTAGTCTGCTGAGGGTGATGAACTAGACTTTGGGGGCTTGGAATAAGAAGACATTGTCTCAACCTGACTAGTGTAGCTCAGTGGGTTGGGCATCATACTGCAAACAGAAAGGTCACTGGTTCGATTCCAGGCCAGGTCTCCAACTGGGGGTATGTGAGAGGCAACCACACATGGATGTTTCTCTCCCTCTCTTTCTCCCTCCCTTCCCTCTCTCTGAAAATAAATAAATAAAATCTTAAAACAAAAACAAAAACAAAACCTTCTCTCCACTCTATTCCCAAACTCTCACCATCCCCTATCCTGAGTGACTCTGGGGAAATGAGTAATGATGAAGTCTGGAGGAGGTAGGATGAGAAACATGGGCCCTAAAAGACAGAAAGAGTTGGATATTCAAAAAGCCTGGGGGGATCTGGAGGGCTGTGTAATAGTAGGATTAGAGGGACCCTGGAGGAGGTGCTCTGGAGTGGGCAGTAATGACTGAATATCAGCAAGAGCTGGAGTGAGAGGGAGTCCTGAACTGTAAAATACTCTGTAGTTGAAAAAGTCACAGTTGGGGAATCTCCAAACCCCAAGCCACTCAGCCTCATTTTCTCACCGAGCTGTAGAGCAGTCCCTCTGCATTCATGGCCATGTAGTGACCCAGCTTGGCACTCTGGATGGTGACCACACGGAGCCCCACAGGGATCAGATTGAAGTGTGCTGAGGATGGACAGAGGGGGCATCAGTACCCCAGGCCACCCATCTGGGCTCCCTCCACCCCAGCTTCATTTCCTCCCTTGGGAGTCAAAGAGGTAGACTGGAAACAACAGAACCTAAAGCAGGAATAGGACTGTCCTAGTCTCCTAGCCCCACTATCCCCCTTCCCACCCAGGGGCCAGCTTCCCCCTCTCACTGAAAGAGCTGGTGTCCTCTGGGGTGCCCTGGATGCTCCCGTCGGGATTTGCCTGGAGGTAGAAACCCTGGCGGCAGAACAGTTTGGTGACGATGCCTTTGAGCTGAGGCTCTAGAGAGAGAGACATTAATCTTTGAAAATGACATCTCTGTTCCCAGAAACATTCCTACACTTGGGATCAGAGGGAAAAAAGGAGAGTGGAGGGAAGGAATAGGGTCCTATGGCCTGAACTTTCTCACCCTCCAAGAAAGCTCTCTCCCTCCTCTCCATTCCTGAGGACGCTGGGATGTGGGTCCCTTTTGCTTCTTCTAATCACCAGCTTTCGGTTTAATTTATTGAAATTTATTTAAATGGTTTAATTTGTACTCTACAGCTTAACCACAAAGAGCGGGGTGGGTGGGGGGGAGGCGCGGAAGAGGAAGGGAAGAGATACATCCAAAGACAGAGGGAGACAGGCAGGGCTGCTAAAGGGGCAGTGTGTTTGTGACTGTCGGGGGCAGCAAGGGACCACAGGGTAGGGGCGCCCCCTCCAGAATGGGGGTGGGACTGGGCCTGACGCTGACTCAGCACCTGCTGCTGCAGCTGTCGCTTGCTTGGCGCGGGCCTCGCCTTGGCCCAGCGCCGGCCAGTCTGACACTGACCCATCTGTCTGTATCTGTCAGTCCGCTGGCCCGGGGGCCCAAGCCTTTTAGAGGCTCAGCCTTTCCCCTTCAGCCAGGTAACCTGCTTAGGGTGGGGGACGTTCAGTACCAAACCAAAGAGGAAGGGCAGGGGAGGCGACCAGGCAGGCTGAGTCACGTGGGAGCCGGGACCCACTACTCAAATGGTGGGTTGCGGACCGTACCAATGCGGCGGACCTGCGGCGGCGGGGCTGGAGGAGCAGGGCTCGAGGGGGCTAACGCTAGGGCGGCTGGGAACAGGCAGGAGGGAGCCAGAGGGACTCTCTGCCTGTGGTAGCTGGACGGGGACCACACGCTAACCCTCAAAACTCTCCTTGCTGGTTGTTTGCTCTCAGCGGACTTCAGTGTACCCCGTTGTAGGTGGTACGACCCCCAATCTCGTTGCTGGTTTCCCATTAGCCTTGTACTATGAGTTCCTCCGCAAAAAGTCCCCTGAGCTCGTGGTACCCGATTTCGGAGTGGCGTGGAGGGTAGTGGTGCTGGGTTGGGGCGGGGGTGGGGGTACCCAGTTTCTCTCTTGAAGCTCAGGTCACGGAAGGAGGGCGCACAAGGGGGGCGAACTGGCGAGGTAGCTGCAAGGACACCCAGGGGAGAGCTGGGGAGATTGGCACCAAGCCAGGCAAGCTCGGCCAGGAGGAACCTAGCCAAGGCGTGGAGGATAGGGAGAGCCGGGGCGGGGGCGGGGCTGCTGGAACCGCAGAAACCCTCGGGGTGACCCAGGCGTCCGAAACCCCCAGGCCCCTCGGCTCTGGATGAAAAGAAGCGCGAGAGGCAGCACGTAGGCGAAGGGCGGTGGGGATGGGGACTCTGGGGTGGGGATGGGAGCAAGTGGGAGCTGCGAGGCTTGGGGAGCCCGATTTAACCTCTCAAATCTTTCCCTTGTTCTCGAAAGCAGGTGGGCTCGGGGTTACGGGCAAAAGAGAAGGGAAACTGAGACATGGACTGGCAGAGACTTTGTTGTCTTAGCCCATCCCTTTCACTCTCCGGGGGCCTCCCTCAGTCGGGCCCCATTCTTCGGAGCCCCTCATCTCAACCTCCCAGGCAGAGAGACCCCAATTCCGGAGACCCCGCTTCAGCCACTCACCCGGGCCGTGGTCTGGCCGTCCGGGCCGCCCCCCGCACAGTCGCACCTTGGACAGCAGGATGAGGAGCTGTTTCTGGCAAAGGGACTTGGTGCCGCGGGGACACACGCGTCGCTGCGCCGACACCGGCCGGCTGCCCCCGGGCTCTCGGACCTCCCGCTTCTGCCGGATCAGGCTACTGGCCAGCGCCGCCATGGCGCCCCGGGAGGAGACACCCCCAAACCAGCAGGCACTGGGAGCGTGCTGGACTCCCCAGAGAAGCCGCTCACCACCACGGCATGCTCTCGACTCTCTTCCCAGACTCTCTGCCCCACCCACAGGACCTTAGGATAAGCCTCAGCAACCCCCTCCAACCTTTAGCTCCCACCTTGAACCCTGGGGCTAGCTCCACTGAACCCAGCAACCTATGTACCTCTCAGTTAATCCCACCCTCAACTTTTGACCCCTACTGAACTACCCCTCCCCTGCTCTTCGTACCCAGTCCCACTTCCCCTATCCCAAAGTCAAAACCCTTAAAATGTCCAGTATGTGGTTCCAATTTTCACCCTATTTTGGTGGCCTCTGTACTCCTGCCAAATCCACTCTTGTAAAATATAGATTGTGGATCCTTAGCTTTGAGGATATTAGCTCATCCCACCCCTACTGGGGCACTGCCAATGTCAGAGAAGAGCCCCACCTTGCTCTCTTTGCCATCCTCTAAGTGAGGACGATCCCCTACTTTTTTCACCGAAATCCCCCAAACTGTGTCTCTGAATATCCAGGCTGTCCCTGTTCAGTGAGAACGGTTTCCCAGACTCTGTCTCTGGACAATGCCTTTTTTCACCAAGTCACCCCCATTTCTAGTGGCACAGGGTTCTAGTTGCTGAGCCCCTTTCCTCACCTTATTACCCTCCACTCTGAAGTCACCTCCAAATCCACCGTTCCTGTTGGCTACACCAGGTGATTGTCTGAAGGGCTGTCACCTCAAAATAAGAACCATCTGGGTTTGTTTGTTTTTTTCCTTCTGGCTGCCCCTTAATTTCCTTTGGGGACTGCTGCTGCTATTTAGATCCTACGTCCTCTGTTCCAACCAGCCCCCCAGGAGGAGTGCACCCATGCTGTCACCAGTTCCCAAATGTGAACAGGCCCTCTAGAAGTCAGTGCATCGGAGCTTTCTGCGACAGGGCGTCCTCCTCCTCCCGAGGACTACCTATAGCAACCCCCCTTCCCCGACGCCCCTCAACCTGTCCTCTTCTTGATCCCGCGACGGGTGCTGGCCCAGGTTCCAGGCTCCTCCCTCCCTGTCTCCCGCAAACGGAGCTCCCCCTCCTCGCCTGGCTAGGCGCCCGGGCCCCCAAAAGAGTAAGGGTGCCTCCGCAGAACGCCCTGGTCCGGTAAAGTCAGAGCACTGGGCCTGGCGGCTGGACCAAGTGCAGCAGCGATAGCAGCGGCGGTGGCGAAAGCAGCAGCAGCAGCGCCAGTGGGAAGCTGAGGCGGCAGCGGCAACCGCAGCTCCCCCTTCTCCAAGCCGGCCCGGGGGCGGGGCAGGGGGCGGAGACGCCGGAAAATGGGGAAGAAGCTGGGCGGGCGGAACCCCGGGGTTCCTTGGAGGCAGGGAGTGGGGACGGTCTTAGCGGCTGGCGGAGCCGAGGCAAGGCCGGATGTCTCGCAGTTTGGAGGAGGGACCAGGAGGTGTTTCCACTGACTGGGTAGAGGTTGGGCTTCAGATAAATGGAACAGCAGATACCCCGAAGGTGGAGAAAGAGACCCTACTGCCCTGTATGGGGGGACAGAGCTGAATGAGGAAAGTAGGGGTAATAACCGAAGGGATTGAGGTGGGGGTTGAAATCTAGCCTGGGAAGAAATGCGACTTCCTTAATAAGTCTGATTTTGTGTGAGCCAAATGGATCTGCTCTGGTCTCCATGCCTCCTTCCCACGTTTTGTCAGCAAATTTGTCGCCCCCCCATCTCTATCCTGAGGGAAAAGGCCACGAGAATTGGGGGAAGGCGGTTGCCAGAGGCTGTAACAGGACACAAACGATGCTGGCTGGCCACAGAGATGGCAGGCTAGGACGACCTGTACCAGGGATGGAGCGGCAGATGAGTGGAATGATGGGGAGGAACCCACAAGGACGTCTTCTAGAACGGGATATTTGGGCTCCAGGGTGCTCAGTCTGTCCCCCAAGTGAGGGCCCAGTAGTGCCCTCCACATCCCTCTAGTTAACAGAAGCACTTTCTTTATTGGTAGGTGTAGTCTTTAATGGGCCCCGCCTCCCACGCCAGCTAAACCACCCCCCTTGCGCGCAGCCTTGGCCTCCTCCACCGTGGCAGACAGGGCCCGGACAGGGTCCCCACGAAGCCGGGCCAATGCTGCGAGCAGCGCAGTAGCACTGTCTCCTGCCCGGAGCTTTCGACCGCTCAGAAAATAGTGGGGTAGCAGCCCGGCCTCGAGCACACGGCCCAGCTCATCCAGCAGCCCTAGGCAGCAGGCACCTGCGTTCTCCGGCCGCGCCAAATAGAGTGCGGGCAGTCGCTCGCAAGCCCAGTAGACCAGCGTCCGCAGAAGGTAGGGCGCCGCGGCCCGGGTCCCGGCCACCAGTGGGCGCAGCAGCGCCTGGGCAGCCGCGTGCGCTTGCAGCAGCGGGGCAGGTATGAGTGCCTTGAGCGCCAGCTCCTGGCGGGCGAAGCACAGCTGCCAGCCGGAAGCGCCCGGCCGCTCTTTGTCGCCGCTCGGCACCAGATAGAAAGAGGACGACTCAGAGGCCAGCGGCCCGGCCCACGAATGGCTCCGAGCCCCCTCGGGCCAGCCAGCCACAGACACCACAGGGATCAGGTCGAAAAGCAGGAGGCGGCGTGGGGGCCCCGGTGTAGCCAAGAGGATGGTTGTGAACCCCGCGTGGCGCGCTGCGTGAACCAAGCGCGGGGCACCCGGGACCGGGATCAGGGACTGGGCGACCTCAGCCAGCACAGCGAAGAACCACGCAGCCACCTTGGCAGGGCACAATGTAGGCCACGCCTCCGGAGCCTCCGACGGCGGCGGGACGGAACTCTCCGAGGCTGCTTTGGTGACGTCACCATTCAGTGGTGCAGGAAAGCCAAGATCGATTACCTCTTGCTGAGGCGACTCAGGCCCCGAGTCGTTACTAGGTGATTTTTCCGAAGACACACATAGCTCAATCTCAGTGACGTAACCGTGAGGTTGGTCCACGGAGGTTTGCTGGTCCTTGGGATTTTCTTCGCTGTCGGTTTGGTAGGTCAAATCACGTCTGCCTGGGACTGGGGGTCCTAGGCAACCCTGCCATGCCTTTCGGACTGAGGTTCCGTGCATCAGTGCTGGGAGGCAGAGCCAGGCGTAACAGGATTCCATGTCCAGTTGCAGCTCCTGCCCAGTGCCATCTAGAGAAAACACGGGCACCAGAAGTGTGAAGCCGGCGTCGTAGTGAGGTCCCCGAGCGTAGGGACCTAGTGGTGAAGGCCCTAGATCCACAGAGCCCTCGCGAATCCCACCACGAAGCAACAAGAGCTCCGCTTGGGGAGGAAGGCGGGGATCGCGGCGGTGAACAAGACCTGAGGGAAGAAAAGGCATTGTGAGAGCGTGAGGCGACCGCGGGGCGGGGCTGAGTGCTGGAAATTTCTGAAGGCTGGGAGGGTTACTTACCGAGTAAAGAGAAAACAAAGTCTTTGGCTTGGAGAAGGTCTCGTCCGGTCTTGGGCCCGTCACTCCAGCTCTCCTGCACACCCAGCTCCTGGATAAGCTGGGTTAGTTCCTGCAGCTGCGCTCCAGAGCAGAAGTCGATGTCCGTGAGCGGGCGGGCCGGGGCTGGGGGCGGCGGGCCCCACCAGGGGGCACTCCCCCAGACCGCGGAAGCCATACGGCTCTATCGTTTTGAGCTAGGGAAAACAAGGATGAGCCTAAACCGGCCTTTCGTTTGCTGCTGAAAGGTCGCCTCCGTTCTCTTTTCCCGAGGCCAAGAGAGTGCCCTTGACAAGTACGCCAACGGGTCTGCAGATAGAGGGCTGTAAGTTTAGTCTTGAAAACGAACAAATAAATACCTCCTCTATCTTCGTCCTTGCCCTTTCTCATATTCTGGTCTCCGCCCCCATGGACCGGTTCACCTGACTCAGCAGGTGGAAAGTAGCTGTTGGGCCCCTCCTACGGAATGCAATAGCCAGTCTCCTCCGCCCGTCCCTTGTCTACCTCCCCTTACCACTTTTTCGGAAAAGGCTTACGGTCTGCGGCTTCCCGTTTAGGGGTAACTGCAAGAGCTGGGAAGAGAATGGATAGAACCATCCAACAGGTAACTTCTTCCTGCCGCCTGCAAGGCCACGCCCCTTCCAGAGGCTAACAGGGTGGTTCCCAGCCGGCCCCACCTGCGTCAACGAGTCTTTTCGCTCTGGTCTGATCTCGCGCTATCCCAGGAGTTGCAGTTTGTCTTCCGCAATACCAGAGCGTTGAGGCTACGCCCCCACATCTTTTCCTGTCCCTCTGAAGTGGCTGCTTGAAGTTGTGGTTTCTATGGAGATAAACTGTTCTGTTTCTTGCCAAGCCCAGGTCAGCCCCACACAAACATTCCTGAGGTTGGAGCAGAGGGGTAATGTTACCCGACAGCAATTGAGTCCTGCTGTCTGCTGCCACCCTCTAGGCAAAATTCCAGAGGCAAAGCTGTGGTGATAAAGGAAAGGAGTCTTTATTCAAAAGCTTCACAATTTTGTAATAACAGTTTTCTACATGAATTAGCCACTTAGGTCTATCAGTTAAGGCTAAACTCTAACACCTGAGTTCTAGCATTTCACGCTAGTTTTTACTTATTCTATAGGATTAGTTCACAGACTAAAACAACGTAAGATACAGAAGCTACACATTTTGGAAGAATAGCAGGCTTCTGTTTCACAGCTCATCCCCATAGAACACCCAAAGAAAAATAAACCTGCCACTCTCTGCCAGGTCAGCGCAATCCTAGGCTGCACAGGGAGTTCCTTCCCACCTAAAATACTGTCCATTGGGAAATGCAGGCAGCTGCAGCACAATTGTCCAAGCATCCTCAGGAAGAAGAGAGAGCTGGAGAGAGCCCCAGAACCAGAGAGCCAGGCCTCATTTTATTTCCATGCACTCTGGAGGCACTCAGCTCCTCAGCCAATCCCATCCTAGACTGCTTACCATTGCCTGCGCAAACTCCCCCTGCTTCTCCCGAGTGATCTGATCAGATCTCTCTGTATCAGTAATTGGATGGATCTGAACAGCAAACAATAATGGAGGAGATACCTTAGAGCCTGGAGATGAAAAGGGACCTCTACATCCCATGTGAGGAGCCCTGGTCATTTAGATCTAGAAGGGTTCTTCCATACAATTCTAACTTCACTTTGAAGTGCAGCCTAGGAAGTCTTGTACATGACTTGTCCAGCATCAGAGCTGAGCTGGAGAAGTGTTAGAAAGGGGCTCTGCAGCTGGGTGATTTCCCCTTGGAATCCGTGGGAGTGGTGTTAGACAAGAACACACAGTGGTGATCCAGCAATGGACATCTGATTCAGGGAAGGGACGTATTAGTGATACCCACCTCAGATACACATGAATGGTGGTGGGGAAAACACTTTGGAATTCCACATGTCATGTGTATACACAGAAGAGTTATCAGGACTGAAATCAAATCCAGAGGAAATTCCCAGCTGGGCCAGGGCAAGGCAAAGGGAAATTATGGGGGAGAAATTATTTGCAGTAACCAGTGCTATCAGGGACACAGTTTAAGTGCTGAATGACACAAGGAGCCAGAATAATGGGACAAAAGATAGGAAACCAGGGACTGGCTTACAAATCAGACCTATCCATTGCTGAACCAGGACTTACATTCCTTCTTCCCTGGGGACTCTCTGGAATGAGATAGGCCTAAGTCCATGGGCAAGAGAATTAAGCAGAGACACCTAGAAAAATTAGAGTCCTGCATAGGAAGGGACTCTCAAAATTCAGAGCTCAATTAGGGGAGCCCAGATCTCAGGAGTTCCTAGACGCTGACAGAGAGCTCTTCTTCCTCAGCAACTCAGAGCCCCCAAACACAACCCACAACTGGAAAGGCAGGTTTCAATGTATCTGGTTGTGACCCAAGAAACCAGATCAGGAAAACTGAAGACTGGGCTCCTTCTCACAGGCTGGGGTAGTCAGGCATCTGGCATCCCGACATCTTACCGCCTCCCCAGAGGGAGGCCTCTGAGCCACCCTAAAAAGAACTGAGTTCTCTGGGTTCCGTGGGAGTTTTGAAGATGCTGGGGATAGGTCACAAGGGAAAAGAAAGTTCCTCTAAACTCTAAAGCATTGCTGTCCAGTAGGATTTTCTATAATGATGAAAAATGTTCTAAATCTGTGCTATTCAATATAGTAGCCACTAGCTACCCATAGCATTGAGCACTTGAACAGTAGATGAGACAAAGGAACAGAATTATTTTAATTTTAATTAATTCACAACTAATAACCATGGGTAGCTAGTGGCTACTGTGTTGGAAAATGCAGCTCTAGGGCCTTGGGGATAATGGGTTTAGCTCTACAGCTATGGAGAAAAAGCAGGGGCAAGAACAGTTCCAACCCTCATCAGGCCCTGAGAGTGGCCAGTGTCAGGAGTGGGGCTGGGGTGAATATCCTCAAACAATTACAGAACACTTCTGTTATCTCTTTATTTCTGGTGCATCTTTGTCCCCTCTTTTTCTGAGGGCCTCATTACACACTGATATCCCCACTTCGTGGTCTCTCCTGAGTTGCTAGATGCCTCTTGTTGAAGGCGCCTGGAAGATAGAGCTTCACACTTGTCTCTGCCCACTCCAAACTGTCTCTGGCGGGCATCAAAGACCACATGGCCTACCTGGGTACATGGCCTAGGACAGCGGGTCTTCCAGTTGACTTTGGGAGGCATAGACATCTGGCAATAGTTCTGGAAGGCTGGAGGAACTGTATCTACAGGGCAGTAAACCCAGTCCTGGCCGCCTGCTCGCTGGGAGGATGGCTGCATCTCAATGAGTACAGGTACCTCTGAGAAGGTTTGCAGGTCACTGTAGATAACCCGAGCCTTGGAAGGGCAGGAGTTCTGACTGAGTGGGTCAGAAGTACATGGAGGATGCTGCTCTGCATTCTTCCAAGGAGCCTTGTCAGATACAAATGATTTCATCAGGGACAGTGTGGACTTTGGGGTCTGAGATGGGCCCATGACTCGGATAGAGTTAGTACATAAAGCAAGGCCTGGATTCTTGTGGAGGTCAGGATTTGGAGTAAGGCATGAGCCCTTGTGGAGGCTTGATTCCTTGGTAAGGCCGTGAGTCGTGGGGAGGTCAGAGTCTTGGGTAATGGCTGGGCCCTTATGTTGGCCAGGATCTTGATTAATTCCTGGATACTTGTGGAAGTTAGGGCCTTGGGTATCTTCTGGGCTCCTGTAAATTCCAACATCTTGTGTAAGGCCACATCTCTTTTTTACTACACTGGCCTGGGTAAGGACTGAATTCATCCAGAGGTCAGAATCTTGAGTCAGGCCCAGATTCCTGTAGTTTTCTGAATTTTGGGTGAGGCCTGAGGCTTTAGGGAAGCCGGAGGTTTGGATAAGGCATGGGCTTTTGTGGAGACCAGATTCTTGGGAAAGGCCTGAGCTTTTGTTGACTTCAGAGTCTTCAGCAAGGCATGGGCTCTTATGTGGGCCAGAATATTGGGTAAAGCCTAGACTCCTAGAGACTCCTGGATCTTGGGCATTATCTGTACTCTTGCAACCTTCAGAATCTTGATAAGGCCCTGGGCTCTTATGGAGGCCAGTTGTTTGGGAGAGATCTTGACTTTTGTAGCGTGTAGTTTCTTGGTTTTGTTTTGGATTCCTATGAACTCCAGAGTGTTGCACAAAGCCTGAACTCCTCTGAATGTCAGAAGCTTTGGGAAATGGTGTGTTCTTATGGAGGCCAGAGGGTTGGGTGAGACATGGGCTCGTAGAGATATGTACATCTTGAGGAGGACCTGGGCTCTTCTGGGGGCCAGGATCTTGAATAATTGAATTCTTGTGAAGGCCAGAGTCTTGGGAGTGACCCAGTTTCTTGCAGACGTGAGGGTGCTGGGAAAGGCCTGGGAACCTGTATAGGCCTGGATCTTGATAAAGGCCTGGGTTCTTGGCAACCACAGAGTCTTTTAGAGAGCCTGAGGTCCTCTGGAGGCCAGAATCTTGGGTGAGGCCTAGACTCTTATGAAGTTCAGGAGATTGGGGTTGGATTGTGGGTTGGGAAATGGTGGAGAACTGGGGAGGGATGGGAAACTGGGAACAGGGTATGGACTGAGGAGACTTGGAGATTGGGGGAAAGATGGGGGTTTGTATTGAATTGGAGGGCTTCACCTGGTGGTTGGTAGGTTGATGAACAAAGGATCTGGGAGAAACAAGAGGCAGAGAAAGAGTACATGGTACAGAAGCAATGCACGGTGAGTTCTGGGCACTGGTTGGAGGATGGAGGCAGAGTTGAGAAGGTGAAGCATCTTTGGAGTAGACAAGGAGTTTAGGGTAGACTGGAGGCTCGGAGTCTGTGTTTCTCCTCTCACAACTGCAAGGATGGAAGCTGCAGTAAGGGATGGTCTTGGGCTGTAAGAACTTGTCTTTGGCATCATTTGAGATCTTCCATTCCACATTCCCCAACTCCGAGTAACCCAGTATGGATCCCGTGGAGGACTTGTCAGTGTCCCTACTGAGTTGCTTTGATGTTTGCTCTGCTGGACCAGAGTTTACCAGGCCCTGACCATCTTGGGGCCTGGAGAGGGTACCCAAGTTCTTTCTGGAACACTCAGCATTTTGGGTGGGGCACACATTGGATAAGTTCTGCTTTACCCTGAGGGTATCATAGACCACATGGTCAGTGGACAGGCCTTGGCTGAAGGCATTTAGGGTAGAGGGAATAGGAGTTAGGCTGTGGGTAGGGGTTACAGTAGGCATAGGAGAAGGAACTGGAGTGGTAGTTGTGGCCATGACCGGTACTGGAGCAGGGATCGAGGCAGGTAATGGGACAGGGGCTGGTGTAGGGGCTGGGGCAGGAGTAGTAGCAGGGACAGACTTTAAAGGAGGAGCTGGGGCAGGAGTAGTAGCAGGGGCAGACATTAGAGGAGGATCTGGGGCAGAGGTTTGGGGAGGGACCAAGGTGTGGGCACAGGTATGGGTTAGATGAGTATGGTCCATGTCAATGGTTGGAGTATGAGCTTTTATGTGCTCAAGAATGTGGCCCAGGGAGCAGGCTAAGGCATGCATGGGGTCCTGGGCTGGGGCCTGGGCTAGGGTGTGGGCTGAGATGTGCTCAGGGACATGGGCCTGTGTGGGGGTGTGCTCGGGGGGGCGGACTGGGGAGTGGGTCCGGGCCTGGGTGGGGGTGTGCTCGGGGGGGCGGACTGGGGAGTGGGTCCGGGCCTGGGTGGGGGTGTGCTCGGGGGGGCGGACTGGGGAGTGGGTCTGGGCCTGGGCTGGGGCTGGGGCTTGGGCTGGGTCATAGTCTGAGGTCTTGTTCGTATTCTCTTGGGGCATGTGGTGAAGAACCATATCCAGCTTATTCATCTTGGGGAACTGGGGAGATGTCTCTTGCTTTGAGATAAAGGTGTCTTGGGCCTTTGAGGCTGTGACCTGAGGGGCCTCTCCAGCTCCTATCATCCCCTCCTTCCACAGTCCCCAGGGAGTCTCCATGGGAGCCCTGGTGTGTCCACATTGAGGCGATATCCAGCAGCACCTAGAAGCCTTCTCATCATTCATATCTGGTATCCAGGAGTCAAGGTTGTTAGGGTGCCTGAGCAGGAAGCTTGGGTGATGATGGAAGTGGGAAGAGACTTCTGAGCATAGGTTCTTGGGATCCATGGAGCAGCGCATACACATGGGATGGCTGCCTATACAGCTGGGTTGCTTGTCTGCTGGGAAAGGTGGGGTAAGACAAAGCCTGGGTCCCTGAGGGACTGAAAATGAAGACAGAGATAGGAGAAAGGGGATAGGGCCACTTTCCCCTTGAGCCCACGCTGAGGACCACTCACCTTTGGGGAAAAAATGATGGAAAAGAATCCTCAAGGAGCTCTTCAGATGCCTCCAGAGCTGAGGAAGCAGGGAAGGAGAGGGTCCAAAAGTAGGGTGAGCCCTGAAGTCCAACCCTAGCCTGGCCACATCCCAGCAGCCCTCTCCCCTCACCCCCTCCCACTGCAGACCCTAGGGCTCTCCCAACCCTGCTGTCCAGACACCATTCTGACCAGAGTCACCACATTGATCCCCACGTTGAGCAAGATGAAGCTGCCCAGAATCAGAAGAATTGAGTCTCCTAGGTCCTGGCACTTCCTGGGGTTGGTGCCAGAGCACCTTGGGGCTCCGTGGTGGGCTCGTTCACTCATGTCTGGGGGTCCCAGGACTACCTGGGCCCCCTGGCCCCCACATACTCACTAGGAGCCAAACTTCTGGTGGGGGAGGGGGAGAACTGGGTCATAATGGGACAGGGGTTAGGGGTCACAATGAGAAAGGAGAGGAAAAGGAAGGTCTGGGGTGGCATTACCTGGTAACCGGGTTCAAGTAACCTGAGCCTGGATAGTCAAACTGGACCCAGAAGCCAACATACCTCCCATCTCACCCTTATTTTTTTCCTCATTGCCTTCTGACTCATTAATTCAAACACGCATCCCATTCCCCTTAGGAAAGCCTTGCTAGAATCCAAAGTTTTGGCCTTCTTCCTGTTGTTTGCTAGGCTGCTGGTCTGGATCTACCCAGATGTGGGATCCCTGGGTCTGGAACTTAACCTCAGCTTCTCGTGTGGGGTTGAGCCTCTGAGCCTCCTTTGGGGACAGGGAAAGCCTTACACAGAGTGTGTGCTCAGAGACCAGTGGTTTGGAGTCTGCAGCTGCAAGATCTACTTAGTGTTTTGTGCAGGACCAGGCGAGGCCTGCAGGCAGGACCGTGGCCACTAAACCAAGGGGAACCTCATACTAAGGGCACACTGGTTTCCCGTTTCAGAAAGCCAAGGATAAGAGTCTAGGCTGGCAGAAGGCTTGGTGCTTCCCAGCCACAGAACACCACAGTATTTCCTGGACTCTGTTGCTCTTTATTCCTCTTTTAGTGCCCTGCCCGCCCCCACAACATTTGCCTCTGGTTAGTGAAGTTTTCCCGTCCGGCTCCTGTGCAAAGAGGGCCTTGAGGCTGAGCCGGAAGGTGGTGGCAGTGAGTTGGACCGTGCTCTGTTCTCCTGCACTTGCCGCTTCAGCTCCAGGCTGTCATACACCTGGTAGTTGGCATTGCCCCCTGGGCTCCGGCTGAGTGGCATGAAGGTGTGTGGGGGTGGGGTGGGCTCAGTACCCTGGACTTCAGGTAGGGGCTGGGAGGAGTGGGGGAGCAGGGCTGAGCTGGGAGTCAGGGCCCGTTGGTATGAGACTTCACCCAACACAGTGAGGGAGGTGGATGTAGTCAGAGGGTGCTGAGTGGGTATCACCTCAGCCCATTCGGTCGCCCGGCGGCGCACCTCATGGGGATCCCGGGAGGTACAGGTCAAGTGTCCTGTGGATGGGTGGGGACTGCGGGTGGGCTGGCTATAAGCATGGCCAGGGAGGTTCTGCCGATGGGACTGTGGGGCATAGTGCTCCCGGGCCTCAGGACGGGAGCTCCGGGACATCAGGGCAGATGGAGGCTCAGAGCTCTCCAGACCACGCCGTCGCTGATCCCAGGAATCATACAGTAGCTGGCCCTTGGAGGGGTAAGGGCTGTGTCCCCCAGGGACCCAGGTGGGGTTAGGGGGCAGCCGGTGGGGAGGTGGTGGAGACCAGGTCCACTGCTCAGCCTCCATATTGCCCCAGATGCGGGACTGTGAGTAGTGGGGCCTGTAGGACTGCAGCCTCAACTCCGACTTAGCCTCCACACGCTTGGGCATGCGGCGCAGCTCAGATGACAGGTAGAGAGAGGGTGGTGGCAAGCTGGCCAGGATCCCACCCTGGCGACCCCACAGCCCCAGGTTGGAGGGCACTGCCTTGTGCTGGTAGAGCCCTCCCCAGCCCCGCTGGGGGCACTTGGGATGTGGAAAGGATAGCTTGTCCTCTTCCTCCTCCAGGAAGGAGTCCAGGTCCTCCTGATCAAAAGAGGGCATTGGTCGCAGCCGTGTTATCTTGTGGCTGTGATGTGGGCTATGGAAGACTGAGCGATTGTTGGGGAATTGTCTGCGCTTCTTTGGATTCTGCCGGTGGCTACTGGGGGAGCGGCGGTGCTGATTATGGTGTGGGCGCTGGCCACTGCGGTTGCGGAAATTGTGGTAGGAGGAAGAGGAGTAGCAAGTGGGCGGGGTCATCTTCACTTCTACAGGGTCCAGGGTGCAGTGAATGTGGACATCTTGGACCTTGGCTGGGGTGTCTTTGGGGGAACTTTCACAAGCCTGCAAGATTTTACCTGGGGGAGGCGAGAGTCCATGAGGTCAGGGCAATTGTCGGTTGGACACACTGGGGCCCATCTTCCTAGGGCTGTGGTGGTAGAAGGGGGCAGATCTGCCCCCTACCCCTCTCGCTGCCATACTTACTTTTCTGATTAATCCAAATGATCATCTTGTCTAAGGCATTCTGGAGCCCATACCACATCTGGAGGTGGAGTGGGGTGGGGTGAGAGTGAAGACCAGGCTTTCCACCCCCAACCCTCAAACTGCTCCCAGCCAAGATTGTTCTTGCAGCTGGGGATACAGGCCAAAGCTGGCTCCCACCCTCAGCCCTCTTCACACATAGGGACAGCCCACAGCCACCACTGACCGCAGTTGCCATGTTGACCCCAATGTTGACAAGAATGATGAGGCCCAGCAGCAGGAGTAGAAAGTCCTCAGCATCCTGGGGACTTCCTTGGTATTGATTGCAGCACCCCAGGGTGTTATACCAGAGCTGGGTTTTCATGGTGGGGGGGTCCTAGGGCCACCTGGGCCTCAACCCCCCCCCCACCAGCCCCAACCCACACTGCACTCATGCCAGGATCCGGGGACACCTGCCAGCTGAGGGAGCCAGGTCATAATGAGGTGCATTGGCAGGAGTCACAATGTAGAGGTGACGGCTCTTTTATCTACTCAGTTGGCTCTGTATATGGCCATTTTTGCCCTTGGCTCAGTCCCCAGATACCCCAGAGTTCAGCCTGTCCCTCTGTCTCCAAGGGAGCTTGCTTACATCAACACCTGATTCCTGATTTGAAAATATGGTAGCTACAGTGGTGAGACAGTTTTCACAGAGACTGAGTCATGCATAAACCATTTCTCTATTTCATTGTTCTTTTGAGAGATTATAGCAGCCTGGTGGTATTTCCTACCCATGCCTACTCGGGAATGGATGGATGGTGACAGCAAGAGTCCCCTCTGAAGTCACCTCATTGTGCATTCCTAAACTGTCCTGCCCACTTCCCTCACACTTCTAGTACTACCCTACCCACCCCTTCCTGGCCGGGGGGTTTCAGCCCTAGGTGTTGATGGTCACTGAGCCCATTAGCCCCTTTGCTTCAGGGCGAGACTGACTCTACCTTGTTGGGGTTGCTGTCTCTGGCGGGCACCACCCCAAACCATGATTTCTCTTATTAGCCAACTGCCCTTCCACTGAGCAACCCCTTCGAGTTGAAAGACTGTTAGCTGCCACCTGAAGAAAACCACATGAAATCACAAAGCACAAAATAGATGTAATTGTTGATTTGACAAAGGAGTCTTTGATTTAAACCAAGTTCATCACTGGGGTCTGTGAAAAGGGCACCCTGGGGACCACAAGTTATTTGTTTGTACAATAAACTACTTGGCAGAAACAGAAAACAGCCAATGGGCATTTCCATCAAGGCTCCAAAAATATAGTAGGTGCTCAGTACACACCTACTGAATGGAATCAGCTTCAAACGATCAATGACATTAGCTGAATGAAAATGAATAGAGAAGTGGGGCAATTCAAAAAAGGCTTGTCTGCTAACATTCCAGGAACCCATCTGGTATCACGACGAGGTCCAGCTCCTTCAGCTTGGGTGCACGCATGTGACTCTTTGTTCCCAAGCTGTGTGTGTGCAAATGTGAGTGCATGTGTGTGATCCCAGCTGCCTGGGTGTCCCTGCTCTCCAGTGGATGGGATAGTTTGCCATGTGAACTAAGGAAGGTAGGAGACTCTGATGGACCTGGCTGACTCAGTGGCAATGCGAATCTACCTGCAGAAGCAGGGGGATGAAGCATCTGAGGTCATGAAGTTGATCCTTGATGTCTGTGTGACCATGAATAAGTCACTTGGCTTCAGTCTCACTTGTGACATGGAGGAATGAATCAGAAGACCAAGGACACAGAAGGCGGTGGTGTTATTATGAGGCAGCCCTTAAGACTGTCCCCAGTATTTCATCCTCCAAGCCTGCTTGAGGGTATAGGAACTCATAGGAGCCTGAGGTTCTGACCAGGGAACTGTGAGGGCCTGGCCACCTTCTTCACTCTCAGTGGTCCCTCCGCTGAAGAAACCAGGGTTGAGAAGCAGCTACACCTCTCCTGCAGCTGCAGCCTAAACCTGGGCTCTGGCAGGAACCAGACCTCTGAGGGCCGAGGGCCATGGGGATGAGGGTCTCCCTTTTACTGTAGGACTCTCTGGATGTCTGGGGTGGGATTGGTGGGGAGCCTTCTCTGGGCACTAAAGAAAACTGGATAGCCCTGGCTGGTTTGGCTCAGTGGATTGAGCACAGGCCTGAGAACCAAAGGGTCACCAGTTTGATTCCGAGTCAGGGCACATGAGTGGGTTGTGAGCCAGGTCCCCAGTAGGGGATGTGCGAGAGGCACCACACATTAATGTTTCCCTCCCTCTTTCTCCTTTCTTTACCCTCTCTCTAAAAATAAATAAAATCTTAAAGAAAATGGGATAAAGGTAGATGGGAACTTTGGAATCAAGAAGAGCCTGGGAAAGGTCTGAGGACAGGGCTGATGGAGAGATTGAGGCCAAGAGGTTGATGGTTGATCGGGGTCCTCAGGACTCTCTAGGTCGTCACCAGGGAGATCATTTCCTTGGCAACCAGGCCTTCTGGGAGCTGTGTGGCCCCTAGCCCTGCCCCACCCTCCACTCCACCACAAACCACCTCCTTTTTTTTCTTCCTTTCTTTTTTTTTAATTATTCTCCTAGTCACCTCTCTGCCAGGGGACGGTATACCCAGTCCTTGCCCATCCCCTCAGCAGTACTGGATCTGGAGGCCATGGGGTAACAGTGGGACAGAGCCTCCACCTCCCGGGTCAGCTCCCGAAGCCGCCGCCTCACATCACGGGCATCATACGTTATGTGGGCTGAGGAGGGACGCCGAGGGATATCTGGGACAAGTGCTGGACCCTTGATTGGTGGTGGAGCTGGGGGGTCAGGGGAGCACTGCTCCTGCTCCCCTTGGATCCTTGTCCCCCCTCCACTGTTTTTACAGTTTGGGACCTGAGCGCTGGGGGGCGGGGGATTCACAGGGTATACATAGGCCTCTAGGTCCAGTTCTGACCGAATCTCTCTTTTGAGGGGGCTTCCCTCTATGGTCTGCTGGAAACGAATGGTCTGGGGAGGCAGCTCCACAGAGTCTTGGGCCCAGGGAGCCCAGAACCCCTGGGTGGATTGGAAGCCTTCCCAGTCTGAGGGATGATCCCAGTTGTGGGAGTAGACTGCTGGATGCTGATGAGGGGCCTTCTCCTCATCGTCAGTGTCAGGTGCCCAGGCTGTTGGGTGGTGGGCACAGCGTGCTGATGAGCCTCGATGGCGAAGGCAGCGAGCAGGTGGGGGTGTCAGGGTCATTTTCAAAGGGTCCATGGTGCATCTAAGGTGGACTGCAGGGGAGTTCTGCTTTGGGGGTGAGGTCTTTCCCCGTGAGGATAATTTAGAAGCTTCTGTGGATAGGGGAGAGGTAAGGGGTGAGGGGGATACTGACTCCTACAGTGGTGGAAAGGCAGGGTTGGGGACAGAAGCTACACAGCTATGGAAATCTGAGGGGGCATAATGGGGGTGCGTGGCCAGCTTAGGGTCAAAGGCTAAAACACCTGGGTATCTGCCCTTCCTCTGCCCTAACCCCAGGCCCCTCTTACCTTTGTCACAAACCATATGGCAGAACATGTGGTGTAAGAAGACACGAAGTCTGCGCCAGAGCTGAGGGAAGGACACAGTGTCCACAGGCAAACCCTGGCCACCAGACCTGCCCCCAGCCAACCTGCCAGCACCCTCCCACCCAGCCCTGCCCTGACCAGCGTCACCAGATTGATGCCAATGTTAATGCAGATGATGAGGCCCAGCAGCAACAGGATGGAGTTACCCAGGTCCTGACAGCTGTTGGTGTTGGGGCTATGATATGAGTCACACCTGGGCCATGGCTGCTCAGCCATGGCCATGGGGGTCCCTAGGGCCACCAGGGCCCCTAGGCCCCCAGCCCACTGTGCCACAGTACCCAGCCTGCCTGTTCCAGAGGCTTCGGGGGTAAGCGGGTCACAATGATGCTGGGGCTCCCCCTCATAATGTGCCCAGAGGGAGTCCTCAGCCTGGGATTAATCTTCCAGCCTGAGTCCAGACCTTGGCGAAAGCCAAGCCCTTCACCTTGTATGCCTGTCTTGTAGCCAGCTACCTGGACCACTAGCCAGGCACTCTGGCCTGCCTGGTGTCTTCTGCTTCTTGTCAGCCCATTGGGGCTTTTTCTACACCCAGCTCAGTCGTCTGCAGACACGGGTCCTAATCTTAACTCCCCAAATAGCCCCATTACCATGGCAACCTCACTCAGCACCCACTCCCCCTTTCTCTCAGACCTCAGTCACCAAAAAGGGTGTGGGTGCGGACCTCTGCCATCAGCAGTCGCGTCCCTGAGGCTTGTTTCTTCAGAGACCCAGAGACCCCTTCTCCCGCCCCTGGACACCACAGCAGGCACAACCAACATTAAACTTTATATTTACAATATTCTCTTCATCTTTTGCCAGGTTTAAAAATGTGTACAGAGCTGCAAAGGGTGGGGACATGGGACTGTCAGGGAACTGTTCTGGGGAGAGGGCTGGGCATTGGAGTCCGTGGCTGAATCATGGGGTCCCCCAGCCCCTCTCCCATGTCCCAACTTGTGGGACATCTGTCTATAGGGTTCAGGGCCCAGGTCCCTAGCATTTAGAGGGCATGGCTGTTTGGAGAGGAACTAGACCAGGCAGGAGAAAGGCGTGGGGGCGGGGGTGGGATATGGAGAATGAAGTTTCAGTGGTTGAAGGTGTGAGAAGGGATGGTCAAGAGGCAAAGTTCTAGGGAGCCAAGACCAGGGATTCTCGATCTGGGTGTCAGTGGAAGACAGCACCCATCCCCTACTCAAGTTTGGCACTAACAACCCACAAAATGCCAGCAGACAAGGATTCTCTCCTCCACTGGTGTCCCTGACGAGGTTCTGTTTCCTCTAGGCTCAGGTCCCCTCTGGGCAGTCACCTTACACATGTCCTTTCAAATTTTTCCTGCTGGTGTCTGCCCATGTCCTGCCACCCATTGCCCCCTCCATCTGCTTCTCAGCACAGCTGACCTCATTCTCTTCCCAACCATGAAGCCTTTCTCCCTTGTTCTCCACCCCACCACCCTCCACCCCTCGTTTTCCTCAGCCTTGGCAGCTGAGGGAAGAAGGGGCAGGTCAAAGAAGAGGAATGGCTTCCCCCTTCTTTGGGGGGCAAAGAGATAGGCAGAGGCAGAGACAGAGACAAGCTGCTGAGGGGAGAAGCTGGTCTGACACTGAGACACAGAGATGGCTTCAAAGAGGGAGAGACATGTGGAAAAGGGAAACTGAGGCACAGAGGAAGGGATGAGACATGGTGGGGATAAGAGACACAGGTAGAACCCCTGTACCTGCCACCTCCCCCTCTCCTGTATCCCACCTGCTCCCACGTTTACCTGCTGTGGCCCAGGACTGGGGAATCCTTGGCAAACCCACCCACCCAGTTTGGCACAGATGAGTAATGGTCTGAGGACTGAGGGAAAGGCTGTCCTTAGACCTCAATGAGGACTTTGGTCAAACATGCATGGCCTCTACGGATGGCAGGTCACACACCCCTGACCCTGAACTTGGCATCTCTGGGGAAGGGAGGGGCAGAGCTCTGCCCTCAGGGTTTGTACATCCCCCTCAGCTTCTAAGAGCTTGAAGACTCTTCCTACCTGCTGTGTGAGGAATTTGGTGCTGGGCCTGAGGCCTGGGGGATGCGAGGAAGTACTGGAGAGAAAGGGACCATCTGCATGGGAAAACATACATCCACATGCAAGAACATGTTTGCACTCAGAGAAGTGTGTCCTGGACTTCTGGGAAAACAAGTTCCCAGGTGGTACAGGGATGCACGATCTCCCGTCCCCCTGGCAGGGATTCTCTGTCTGTCATCTATGGAAGGCGAGGCCTACCTGGGAGACCGTGCTCCACCTGACTTGTGCCAAGGGGGAAATACATGCTTCTCCAGGGCTGAGGGCGGGGGCACGGCAGAGGGATGGGCGGCAGGGAGGGGACACTGGTTTCTCACTACTTCCCAAGAACCACCCTGTTACCTGGTGGCCAAGGGTCACTGTACATGAACACACCACTTCCAGGGCCTCCACGGGGTGGACAGAGGAGAGAGAGGAGGCAGGAGGAGGTGGGAGAAGGCATGAGGGAATATGATTCTGGGGTACAAATCCCCGCAGAAATTCTTTGAGGGGGCCAACATGTGTCCAGGGCGGCAAAAAAAACCTTACCCTGCACATGGGAAAACACACCCCCTTGTAGAAAGCACACCTCCACATGGGAAAATCCTTCCACACTTCCACACACTGAAGACTGGTGTCCCAGTGGAGGGGACAAAACACCCCCCAGTTGTTCGAAGGCCCAGGTCCAGAGAAGAAAATGGGTCTCTATGCACGGGAAAACACACATCCCAGTGAGGGGACCTAAGTCCGTCTAATGTTCCTCGATGTGTGGCGAGAAAAGCCTGTTGCAAAGTCCTCCTCCCTGTCTTCCGAGTGGCACTCCTGCCGGTGGGAGGGTTGGGGAGGAGGGCCCTCCCAAGCCATCCCCTATACCCGGGTAGTGGAGTGGGGGTGGGGTAGAGTGTTGTTGTGGCTGGTAGCAGTGGGGGGAGGTGGGGGAAAGGGCCCAAAGGGATGGAGGGAGGGTGGCGGTGGGGGAGGTGGTGGTCCCAGGCCACTGGGCAGCAGGGTCAGGGCCCCAGGGGCCAAGAGAGGCACGTCGTCCGGTGCCCGGCGCAGGGCCAGGGTGTAGTCGGGTGGGCAGGCGGGGCGCAGGGCCTCAGCAGGGTCCGCCCCAACGCCACCGCCCCGTTTCAGCTGCAATGACACCAGCTCCTCTTCTGGTGGTAGCTCTCGGCCAGTGGTAGGGAGCAGGGGGCCCCCACCAGGCACACCGGAGCCTGATCCGCCTGGGGGACTGAGCCTCCTGCACCGCAGCTCCTGCCGCCGGTCCCGCTTGTAGTAGAGGGCGGCAAAGGCAAGGATGTTGAGGAAGAGGAGGGAGGCGCCCACAGCCACAGTGACGCTCAGCTCTGTGGAGTAGTCCCGGGAATCCCCGGGGAAGCGATCATAGGCCCTGGGGCCTGGCTCAGGCTCAGGCTCCGGTGGCAGAGTGGCAGGTGGTGGGGGCCTGCGTGTGCCTGGGGCTCCGGGGGGCGGGCGAGGTGGCCAGCGCGTGGCATAGGGAGGCAAGCGCGTGGTGGTGGTAAAGATCTCTGTGTGCAGGTTGTGCAGGTGGGGCACAAGCTCCAGCCAGAAGGCCACCTTGTTGGCACGGTAGTTGTCACGCACGCGCGGCTTCAAGCCAATGTGCAGGTACTGCTTCTCCTTGCTGTTGAACTTGCTCCATACCACCTCCTCGAAGCGGTTGGGCTTGGTGTGGATGAACTTGGTGTCCTGCGGCACTGGCTGGTTGGGGTCACTGTGGGCACAGGAGGGCAGGGAAAGTAGGAGTGAGGGTGAAGCTCCAACAGGTGTGGGAGGGTGGCGGAGGAATGTGGAAGGAGACAGAGATGCAGAGAGCCAGGGAAACGGAAGAAAGTCAGAGAAAAAGCAAGAGGCAGAGAGACAGAGATAGATAGAAGAGATAAATTCCCAGAGACAGGGAAAGAAAAACAATGAGGGATGGAGACAGACTGCTGGAGACAGCCAGAGATGAGGACAGAGGGACAGAGATAGGCAGAGACAGAGACAGCCAGTGAGAGAAGCAGAGGCTGAGACTGAGTGAGAAAGACATACAGAGGCAGAAAGATAAAGACACATGAAAGACAACCACAGTGAAATCAGCAAGCAAAAAGCAAACCAATTGAAGGGAAAGGGAGAGATATCAATGGCTTTCAAGAGTATGAGATGTAGAGACAGCCATAAAGAGACAGGCAGCCCGAAACCCCTACATATGCTCAGACACAGATGGGAGCTGTCAGAGGGCAGAGTACTGGGAGAAGAGAGAGGGTGGCTGGGCAAGGGAGGGAAGAAGAGACAGCCATGGAGCCAAAGCCACCAAGTGAGCCCACCCCCAGAAAGGACAGGGACCTCTCTGTTTAACTCTGCTGAATCTCCAACACGCAACTCAGTGCCTGGCACAGAGAAGGTATCCAGCAGATGTCTGAGTCGAGAAGGCAAGGTGCCGTAATGTAGAGATGGTGGCCTTGTGAAGAAGTGAGAAAGAGAAGAAGCGGACAGTGGAGGGTGTGTGTGCCTCAGCCTGCATAGTGCCCCACCCAGGCCCTCTGGCCCTCACCCAGTCTTGGCGAAGTTGGTCCAGTAGGTCATGACCACGGCGCTGAGCATGACATCATTCTTAGAGAAATTGCAGGGGAAGAGGTCTGTGGCACCCACCATGGGCACACCAAAGACGTAGGGCAGCTCATCCCCGTGCGCTGCATCTGCCCACTCGGGCCGGCCCTCAGCCTGGCAGTGGTGGTAGAAGGTGTAAAAGTAGACAGGGGACTGGTAGTCAGCATGCAGCTTGGCGGTGGCCACGGCTGGTGCCACCCACTGGTGGTCAGTAAAGAGCGCCAACAGGGTCTTGCGCCGCATCTCACCGTTGTCCCGGTCGGCCCAGTCTGTGTACATAAACTTGATGGTCTCCCGCAGCACATCCTTGCCCTCTGGGTAGCCATATAGGTTGTCCACAAAGTTGGAGACTGTGAAGTCAAAGGCGCTGGCGGATACTCCATCCTCACTCTCTGCTGAGTCCTCCACGAACTTGAGGCCTTCCCCTTGGTTGACGCCAATGAGCATGTCATAATTTAGGAATTCTCCTTGCTGCATGAGGATCTCAGGGTCATCAGGGACAACATCACCATCCACCACGGGCCCAAAGGCGATGTGGTAACTGGGGAGAAGAGGTCAGAATCTCATCACCTTCTCACTGGCCTCCTCTCAACTCAGTTTGTTAAACCCTCTGCCTGGAAGATTCATAGGAGTTAAAATCTCCTATGAATCCACCTGGGTTGATGTGGCTCAGTTGGCTGGAGCATCATCCCATAAACCAAAGGGTCTCGGGTTTGATTCCCGGTCAGGGCACATGCCTGCATTGCAGGTTCAGTCCTTGGTTGGGGGACATTTGAGAGACAACCAATCAATGTTTCTCACGTTGAAGTTTCTGTCCCCCTCTCTCCCTCCTTTCCTCTCTCTCTGAAATCAACAAGCATATCACGGGCTGAGGGGGAAAAACCTCTCTTACAAATCCTTCAGGGCACTTGGCCTTGGAAGTCTTCTCTGAAGCACTTTATGGCACCTTGTGTATACTTGCCCTGCTTGGGCACCTCCACTCACTCCACTTAGGGAAGGCTTCCAAGAGAAGAAGGCAGGGCCACTAGAGGGGCCTGAAGCCCACCTCTCCTTGTCAAACTTGCAGACACCTCTCATCCTCAACCTCCTTGGACTCAGCAAGGTGGGTGAAGGCCTGGACCCAGCCCTCTCCCACGCCCACACCAACACCCATACCGGGCAGGCTGCACGTCCTGGTCCACCAGCTCCCGGGACGGCTTCCGACGCAGACACTCCACAGCTTCAGCACTGTCCTCCCGGTCACAGCCCACCTTTGCTGCCAGTAGTCGCGTGTATTTGAGCGGCTGATAATTGACAGACCAGCTGGAAATAGCAGTACCACTCTGGGCAATGGCTTTCTGGAACAGCCCTGGTGGGATAGGCAGGCGTTAGGCCAGGCAGTATCAGCCCAACAGAGAAGGGGGACCTGGTAGGTTCAGGGGTATAGAAAAGGGGACAAGACGGGCAAACTAATGAGGTTGCTGGTACCTTCCGAATGGTGAGAAAGGATCAGAAGGTTGACACAGGATGCGCCTGCCCCAGACCCAAAGATGGTGATGCGCTCAGGGTCACCCCCAAAGTGGGCAATGTTTTCACTGAGCCAGCGTAGGGCCTGGATCTGGTCCAGGAGTCCATAGTTGCCTTTTGCAGCCTGGTCCCCGGTGCTGAGAAATCCTGGAGGTAAAGAAAGAAAGGGAGCTACCTGGGGGGTGTTACAGTGTCCTTGCCTCTTACCTGGACAGCTCAGCCCAGCCCAGAAGCTATTTTGCTGTTCCTGGGTTTAAAGGACCCCACCCACCAGGTCCCCTCCCAGACTCCCTAGAGTTGGTTGCCCTCCCTCACCAAGCACCCCAAGCCGGTAGTTGAGCGTGGCTACAATGACGTTGCCATAGGCGGCCAGGACAGAGCCATCGAACATGTTCCCGGTGCCCTCCATGTAGGAGCCGCTGTGCAGAAACAGCATCACGGGCTTCTTCCCAGAGTCTCGGATATCTGTGTGGGGAGGGGGTGGGCAGGTGGGCCGGGAATGGGGACAAGGACACAGTGAGACCAGAAGCAGCACCTCCCAGCTCCCAGGCCTGCTGAAGACCAGCCCAGAGCTCAGGGGACATGTCATTCCCATCCCTGGGGGGCAAGACCGGATTCCCCTCCCTCCATCCCCAGCTAGCTCTGGCAGAAGGTCCCCTCCCCACCTCCTGCCAGTTTGCTCCACGATACTTCTTCAAATGCTAGGCAGATCTTCCAAGAAGCCTAACAGAGGCAGGGGTGGGGGGTGGCCCCCCTCAGGGCATGTGCTGGATCTAGAGGACCTCCTCCCCACACACACACAGCAAATCTTCCTGCTCCTAGGAGGAGTGAGCCCCTAAGGCTGGCACTGGAGCTAAAGATGCTGGGAGGGTCCTGGGCTTTTCTCAGACTTAGGCCTTGGGCCTCAGCTCCACATGGTAGACTGGTCTATCCATGAGGGGGTGTCAGGCCCTAGGGTCCTTGGGGGCTTGGTCTCCTCCCCGCCCTAATTCCTTTCTAGGTCACCTCCCTAGTCACCATGGCAACCCCCCAGCCTAATTACTATGGCAGAAGGAGGCAGGGTGGGAAAGAGCTTGTTTAATGAAGCCAGGGTGCAGCTCCCCTGTCTTGGAACCCCCTGCAAACTGGCCTGAGCTCTGGGTTCTGCACCAGACCCTTCTCTTGTCATGTTCCAAAAGGATCCCATAATCACTGCGACATATAGTAGACTTTTGAGGCACTCTAGACTGGACTAAAAAGTGACTAATTCCAGGAGAAGGTCAGAGTCTGAGAGGGCTTGCCACAGTCCCCGAGGCTATGTAAGTACCCTCCCCTGCAGCCTCTGCACCAGGGCTGGGCTGACCCCTGGCCCACAGGCCTTCCTCCTTCATGACACCTGCAATCTCGGCCTAGCCTGGGCCCTCAGCAAACAAGAGCCAGGCCTGGTCCCCAGTGGCTCTGCCAGCCTCCTGCATCCTGCTAGAAACTTTCTTCTAGCCAGAGATCAACCAACAGGTCACTAAGACACTTCCCTCCATTCCCTACAGGCAGCTTCCTGCCTTCTTTCTCTCAGGGCCTTCTCCGACACCTTCCTCTGCCTGACTTTGGCTAGAAGCTCCTAGGTGGGCAGTGCGTCCTTTATGTCCTCCCCAAATCCTATTTTTCTCTTTGTTCCTGAACCTCCAGTGGCCTTCCAAGAAGTTCAGGCTGAGTCTCCTTCCCTCCAAGGTCCTATCCTAAACACCCCAGTTCTCCCCCCTCCTCCCCACCCAGCACCTCCACTCCCAGTATGGGAGGAGGGGGGATCAGAAAAGGAAGGAGCAGGAAGTGGGGCTGGGGCAACAAGAATTAAAAAACAACAACAAAAAACAGGATCAAGAAAGAAGAAAGAAAAAAACAATAACCAAAAAGCCAGAAGTTCTCGGGGCGGATTCAACAAGAAAAGAAAAAAAAAAAAAAGATCCATTTTTTGGAAAAAAAGAAAAAAGAAAAAAATTCTTTGCATTTTTTAATTCAAAATTTTGTGGTGAAACTTCAAGAGATTGGGCCCTGTTTTCAAAAATTTCCAAATTCTTTAATTAGCTTCAAATGTTTGCATTTTCTGCATCTAACAGGCCTTTGGAAATTGTAGCAGGCTTCTGATGTTTCAATGTGTCATCAATTTGCCAACTTAATTTTCTTTTCAAATGCTGTTTTGCTTCAAATTAAAATAGTTTTTTCAAATGCTACATTTCACAAGTTTCAAAACAGTCCAAATTTTTGTCAAACTCTTAACATTTTATCCAAGTTTTTGGTGTTCTATTTTTTTCTGACATTCCAATTTTTTTTTCACTGTATTTTCGTCACATTTAGCTTTTCTTGCAGGTTTTTCTAGTGGGTCCAATTTTGTTCATATTTCATTTGAAGTTTTCATAATTCTTTTTTCCAATATTACAAGTTTTTCTTTTCTTTTCTTTTTCATTTTTAGTGGGGAGAACAACTGTGGGCCTTCAGGGCTGTGGGGGTATTTAGTGAGGGGCAGGGCCGTGAATGTGAACGTCCTCTTATCAGCAACCACATGCAGCAGCGGGATTTTTAAATCTACCTGTGTCTGGCGGATTGAGCGTCGCCTCGTCACGTTTTTTTGTGAGCGGACCTAAGACCGGGAACACAAAACAGAGAAAAAAGGACAATTTTGTGGGGAAAGATGGGGGTCAGGGGAGGTGGTGGATGGGGAAGGGAGGAGAGAAAGTAGAAAAGGGGAGGGTGGGGGGCAGAAAAAATAAGCCAAAAAAAGCAAAATTTGTTTGCAAGAAAAAGAAACCAAGAAAAGAGAAAAACGTTTTTTACAACCCAATTTTGTTCCCCTCCCCGGAAAAAGTCATGCCCCAAAGAAAAGGCTGGTTTTGGGCGTTGGGGGGGGGGTGCCTAAGTGGGCTGAGGCCTATCTTAAGACACACTGACTTGGTTGGAAAGGATTTGGCTTGTAGATGTGTTGGCTAATTGCTGGAAATGAAACAGTGTTAGAGGTGGGGTGGGAGGGGAGGGGAAACCTGCCCAGGAGACCAAGGCCAGCTTTGCCACCTGGTCCACCACTCACACAGGCCCTCTTCAGGGCTAGCCAAGCACCTGCCTGCTCCCCAAGGCTGTAGAGAGGAGGGGCTGCAGCAGAAAGCATTTTGCTTCCCTCTGGACCAGTCTGGAGGGCTGTGGGTAGGTCAGCTAAAGTGGCCTGCCCACCTACCCATCCTCCCAGCCACCAGCATTTCTCTTCCATCCGCACTCACAGGCCTGGCTTCTCACCCCATGTCCCCAATGTGGGGTGAAGCAGGGAAAGGGGTCATCAGGTCTTGCCCTCCACTCCACCTCTTCCCTCTGCCCTGCCCACCCTCCAAACTTCATCCCCTACCCAGGCCTGCTCTCCTCCCTCCAAACAGTAAATCCCCCACCAGGGGCACCAGCCCTTCACCGACCCCTTCTCTAATGCCAAGAATCCCCCCTCCCCAATTGGGGGTTCAATCCACAAACAGGGAATAAGAAACATAGTGCCCTGAGCCAGCCTGACACATAAGGTGCCAGGAAGTGCTCGGAAGCACGAAGTGTGCCCACTGTCAAGAAAAGGTCCTAGACTAGGCCCAGAGTTTGGCTCCAGGTTTCTTTCAGGGGAGAGCTGGAACCCAGGAGCCTGAGGGGGTTCCCAAAAGCTGACTGGTTTCTCCTCAACAGCAGAAGGAGGGATGGGTCAGCAAGGCCCAGGCCAGCCTATGGAAAGCTTTTCCCAACTGGCAATAATGGCCCTGTGGGGACCCATTAGGGTCAGGGCCTGTTCTCTTCTGTGACAGGGTGGGAATGGGGATAAAGTCAGCAAGGCGTGCATGTATGTGAGGTATTAAGTGTATGTGTGTGTGTGCCTGAGTCAGCCTCTTCCTTCCAGAGCTGATGTGAAGATTCAGTGAGATCACCTGAGTGCAGCAGGCCCCTAAGCGGGATGGCAGTAAGCGATGGTTAAAAAATACAAAAGGTGTGGGGCAGGGTGGACAATTTGTGTGGAGATGTTGGGATAGACAGCCCTTTGGTAGGAAGTACTGGATGGGTGTTCCACTGAGGAGGACACTGAGTTGGACAGCCTACGTGAGGATGTGGAATTGGAGAGCCCACAAATGGAGAGTGTTGAGAAGGACAGTCTCTGTGAAGGCGCTAGGGTGAAGAATTCACAGGAGGGAGAGTGCTGGATGCAGTAAACATTCCATGAGAGAGCGGGGAATGTGCAGTGGATGCCTCTCATGCAGAGGCTGTCCAGTCAATGTTCTGTTAGGGTGCTTGGAATCTGAATGAGATTACAGTGAATGCCCCTTCTGTGCATTGTGTGGACAGGTTACTACGAGGCATGGTTTATATGGGGAGGGGTAGTTAGGGTGTTAGGGTACCTGGCTGGTATGAGCAAGATAGGGTGGATTGTTCACACAGGCATTGGGAACAAGGTGGGTGGATTGAGGTGCTGGAAGTGTTCTGTGATTGGCATGAGAGGACTTTGGGTACAGGGACTGTGGTGTGAGTGGCCTGGTGGAGCACATGGTCCAGGTGCAGGGTTATGTGGATAAAGGTCTATCTATGTATGGGTATTACTAGGCACATGACCTATATCCAGGAATACTGGGAGTCACAGGTGTGGGTGATGGGGTACACAGTTTTAGAAAAATGTTGGGGCATGTGCTGTGTAAAGGTGCTGGGAGCTGTGGTAGTGGGTGTTGGAACACATACATGGTCAGTGTTGGATCAGCTGGGCACATGACCGAATGTTGAGTAGTACAGATCCTGATCTGTTGAGGGACTTGATACATGAGGTGGGTTGTTGGGTGTGTAGGGTGTACACAGAAGGGTTCCTGGTACCAGGCCTGTGGGTAAAGTTGTTGGAAAATGACCTGTAGGGGGTGTGGTAGGAGTAGATGGGCTCTGACAAGGTGTTGGGGTATTTCAGAGTAGTGACATAGGGTGTAAGAAGGATAGCGTGGGGCTGTGAGGATGGTCTGTTTGGTGGCTAGAGTTGTGCTGACTCCCTCTGTTGTGGACAGCTGGAAGGTCCTCTGATTAATCTTAGTGTGCTGGAGGTTGGCAGGAGCAGAACTGTCCAGGGAGAGTGTGTTGGGGCCATGAGCAGAGCTGTAGTGAACTGAGTTCAAAGTTTATTGACAAGACAGCCAGTTGAAGAGCTCCAGGGAAGGTGTTCTGATGGGGATGGGTGGGTGTGCCGTGAGTGGAGAGGCCCTTGGCAAGGCCTTGCCCTGATCCTTCAGGATTGTATAAGGATCAGAGGACATAGGGATCAGAGTGCCTGGAGAAGAGGCCCTCACTTTAGGCAAGGGGCTCTGGATGTGATGTCTCAGATGGAAGCCTGCAGGACTGGCCTGGGGGAAGGGAGGAGTCTGCTGTCCTTGAGCTATAGATGTTGCTAAAGTGGACAAGCCAGGGACAGGCCCAGGCGTGGGTGTGGGAGGTGGGGGTAGAGGGGAATGGGTGCCCAGGCAGGTGATGGATACTTCCTTTGTGGGGACCTGCTGGGTAAGTCCAGCCTCGTGCTTGTTGACCTTACCACTGGCTGTCTCTGTGGGGGTGGAACTTGGGGGGGTGGCTGTCTATGGAATTCATTCCTGGGACTGCTTGGCAGGTACCCATACCACACTCGGAGGGCACACAGAGCCACTAGGGACATACTGTCGGCCCACTGTCCCCACAAAGCCCAGCTCCCATCCTGGACTGTGCCAGTGCCTGAGGTTCTGCATGTGTGTTTGTGGGCTGTGTCCAGAGTGCCCGTGTGGTGCCCGCGCCCTTACCGTCCTCAGTGGGCACGTAGAGGTTGAGGTACAGGCAGTCCTCGCTCTGGTTCTGCACGTAGGTGGCGGCTGCCTCCAAGTTGTCGGTGAACCACACAGGCAGCATGATGGCTGGCAGCGCCCCGTGCAGGTTCTGCGGGCAGGCGGGTGGCAGGGTGGTGGCGTTGCGCACGCCGGGCCACGAGGCCGGGGCCTCGGGAGGCTGGAAGCGGCGGGCGCCCAGGGGTGGTGTGGCGTAGGGCACGCCCAAGAACTGCACGACGGGGCCCAGGATCTCGTTGTTGAGCTCACGCCGTACACCGCGCACTCGCCCGTAGGCCGTGTTCACCACTGGGAAGCGCTCCTCCCCGAGGCTGCTGAGGCCCAGGCCGGGGCCACCAGGGGCACCGCCCCCAGGACCCCCTCCCCCGCGTTGAGCCCCCACCAGCCCCACCAGACACAGCGCCAGGAGCCACATGCTGATAGGGGGACCCCCCCTCCCTCCCCGGGACCCCCCCCTCGGAGAGAGAGAGAAGGGGGGGGAGAGGGAGGGAGGCCCCCCCTCGCCCCAGGAGGGAGGAGGGGGCGGGAAAGGAGGGAGGAGGGGAGTGGGAAGGGACCTGGGTTAGATTGGATAGAGAAGGGGTCTGTTCCTCTCCATGGAGGGGGGAAGGGGTGGGGAAGGGGAAGGAAGTGGGAAAAGGTGAATGCAGGCTGGACCCGTGGGTTGGAGGGAGAGGGTATGCAAGATACAGACAGACAGACAGACAGACAGAAAAATACATAGGAAAGGTGGAAGAAGGGAAGGGAAGAAGGGCAGACAGAAGGGAATGGGAAAACAGAAGAGACAAGTGGTTAGTGACGTGGAATTCAGACCAGTTGCCCCCCTTCTTCCACCCTCAGGCCCCCCAGCACTTCCTCTCACCCCCAAAACCCCCTCCTTCAGCAGGGACCCAGATAGAAAAGTCTGAGCCTGGGGGTAGGGCCAAGATGTGGTAAAAGTCCAGGACACAACCAGGGGGAAGGACCTTCCAGGTGCTTCATCTGCCTTTTCCCTATCAGGAGGGCTCTCCTTGGGGACTTGGGAGTCCCAGTTCCCACCTCCCTGGGAGGGATGAGATAGACAAGGAAGAGAAAATAAAAATACCAAGTCATTAATTAGCAGGAAGTGGCGGGTTTGTTTATACATGTTAATTACTCCTGAGCTGTAATTTCATGGCACTTAACCCCCACCCTAGGCCAGACTCCAGGCCTTCCTTGGGACTGCACAAGCCCAGCACCTTCTCCTCCCTTTGACATCGCATTCCCTAAGGATTCGTGTAGCCGTGGGGGGACCCCTTTTCCCCAGGCCCTTTCCATTACCTCCCTCAGAAGTTAAGATGCATTGAGGCAGGGGCTAGAGTAAGGAGGGGATGCTGGAGGGGGGCAAATCCAGGGACAGATGCGTGATCCTGTAGCCGGTTGCTGAGCGACGGGATGCTGCCCCGCAATGTTACCTCGGCAACGGGCTGCAGCTTTAACCCTGGGTGGGGGTTGGGGGGGCAGGTCTGGAGGAAAAGGGGAAGGGACTGGCTTGGTTATGGGGTCCGTTCTAGGCATGAGGGCAGGGGCATGAGTCAGAAAGCTAGAGTTTCCCCCAGCCTTAGCATAGAGGAAGAAGTATATATGTTGAGGGGAGCGGGAGACTGGAAGCATTAAAGAACCCTAAAAGACCCGCCTCTTGGCCCTTGTTGGCCAATCAGAGCCTAGTCCTAGTGACCAGGCCTCTGGCTGGGGAGAAGGGGTGTTGAGGTGGGTTTAGAGAGAGTCAGATGCACCTACCCCCTCCCACAGTCTTGAACAGCCTTGTACTCCAGGCAGCTCTTCTTCCACACATGGTATTTTGACTGGTGTCCTGGAGGCAAACCTAGGCTTTTTCTCATCCTGTTTCAGCTATTCACCTCCCCTTCCCCTTGCCAGTCCCCCACAGATGCTGCTCTGATATCTGGGTGCTCAGGGCAGCAGGAGCGGGACAAGGGAAGAGATCTGACGGAAGGGGCAACACCCAGGTCATTTCAGCAACCCCCCAACCCCCCCAACCGCCAAAGCTGTTTGCTGACGTGGGGTTTTCAGAGCCAGGCGCCAGCCCGCGGGTGGCTCTCTGCAGGTGTCAATTTATTCCAGAGATGAGGACACAGGAATCCTTACCACACACACTCAGTCATACCCTCCCCCTCTTCAGGTCCTCTAAAGCTCCTGTTCCCCCATCACCTGGAGGGGGCTTGGGGCTGGCTCCCTCAGGATTTCCTCTGCCCATGCCAGGGTGGGCTCTGCTTCCATGGCCTTGCCATCCCCTCCCCCTCCTACTAACTCGGTTTATCTGCCTCTGCCACCCTTTCTCCCTTAAGGTACTTTGGGCCTGTGGCCTTCCCCCTGACAGCTTCTCTCCCTTCTTACCTCCCTCTGGAGCCACCCCCCCTCCACCTCTTTCCTCTCCATAACGCTCCCTCAGCGCATCTTTCCCAGCCTCTTTCAGACTGCTCCATCTCTTGCCTTCAGTCTCTGTCCCTCAGTCTCTTTTCATCACTCTCTTCCATATTTCCCTCCTTAGTGTTTCTCATTTTTCTCTCCTTCACATACCTTCCCCAAATTTCTCCCTCAAGCCTTTTCTGTTTCTCTCTCTCCTCCTCTTTCCCTGTCTCCCCCATTTTCTCTCCTCTTCTTTCTCCTTTCTGTCTGCCACGTCTTGCTCCCCCCTCCTCTCTATTCCTCTCTCTTGCTCTTTCCATTCCTGACCAGCCAGGCCTGACTCCCACAGCCAGCGAGAGTTGAGGGACGGGGGCTCAGGCCGCAGCCCCCCCTTTTCTGCAGTGGGGAAAAATGGCTTGGCTGGGAAGGGGAGAAGGAGGGGGAGGGGGAGATGGGAACACATGGGGTCTGTGGGCCCATTCAAAGGATCATTCATGGGCTGGAGAGAGGCAGAGACAAAGAGACCGAGACGGAGAGACACGGCGAGAGCATCCCTAGGCGGAGACCAGCAGACAGAGCAGGCTGAGGGAAACCAGGCGCAGGGAGACAGATGGGGAGTGGGAGACCCCAGTGGACCGCCACGAAATCCCCTCCACCAGACCCGGCTTAGCTCCTACCTGGCTCAGCCCTGGGGCCGTGGTGCCTCCATCCAGGGCTCCGAGTAGGGGGCGGCGGCCTCTGAGCCCCCGCGGTCCCGCAGGCCCAGCCCCCGCCCGCAGCGCCTCACCCAGCGGGGGAGGGGGATCGCCCCAGCCCCAGGGGGCGGGGCCGGGATCCAGTCGATACCCGGGGAGAGGTAGGCGATGGGGTCAGGAGGAAGCCGAGAACAGGGAGCCCCGCAGTGGGGATAGAGGAGTGAGGTGGGGGCAACGGGACGAGACTGGATTGAGGATCCACTGGCTCCGTGGGCCGGCTTCGAGGGACCAGAAGGCGGTCCAGGCGGAGGATCCTAAGGGATCGGGTGCGGGGAGAGGAGTCCACGGCAATCCCCAGGGGCCCGGAGCCCGGGAGCGCAGGATCCGCGGTGCAGGGGCAGGGATCCAGCCGGAATCCTCGGGGAGAGGGAGGGATCTAGTCGATCCCGAGGGCGGGCGGGGGTGGGAGGTCCTGGGAGTCAGAGAAAGGCGGGAGTAGAGTCTGGAGCCCCGGGACAGGGGTCGGCACTGCTCCTAGGAGGCAAAGGGGGGGAAGTAAAGGGAAGGCTTCGGGGGACGCTCAGCAGCCGGGAGGCCCGGACTCCTGGCTCCGCGCGCCAGGGCCCACCCGCCCCGCGTCCATCCCAGCCCGAGAGTGATGATCCGTCGGCGGAGCAGCCGCAGCAGCCCCGCGCGTCACCGCGCGGCCGCCTCCCCCGCCCCCTGCAGAGAGAGCGGCGCACACCCCTCGCTCTCACCCGCCTGTACGCCCATCCGCCCTCCAGAGTGTGGGGGGATTGAAGAAGGTGGAAAAGGGAGGGAGTGGACAGACCGACATAAGAACGAAGCGGTCCCGTGCAGGAAGTAGACATCTCCCCAGATATCCCACCCTCGGGGCTTCGCGGTTAGTGGTACTGGTGGTGGTGGTGGGGTGAACTATAGGGGGCGGGGCATCATAGGACGAAGGCGGGGCCTTCGGACCTGGAGGAGGAGTCATATGTATAGTGGGCGGGGTTTAATGGAGATGGGTGGGGCTTGGGTAATTGCGGTGTCGCCTCTTTTTGCGTGCAGGTCTGTTTTAAAGGAGAAAAGGAAGAGCCTGTGGGGAAAGAGCCAGAACTTTGCATGGGGATCTGGATTTTTGGAAATTGGCAGGAGGTGGGAGGGGGTGTTATAAGAGGAGATCAACTTGGAAAGTGGGCCAATCCGTGACGCAAATCCTGTAATACCGCCCCTCAACCCCGCCCCCCACTGCTCCTCTCCTCTGCTCCTAATTGGTTCTGATTTCTCCGCCCGCCAGATGTCTTCGCCACTCAACAGAGGTTTTACAAAGGCGCAAGCACCCGGGTGAGGACCTGGACGCTGAAATGAACACCGCTCTGATTGGACACCTGTGCACCTTATTTGCATGGGAGCCCGGAATTGGTTGGCCTTTTTGGTGTCCTGGGCGGTGTTTTCCCGGCGCGTGACCATCTACTACCATGGCCGGGCCAGGGGCTGCTTTCCGTCGCTTGGGTGCCTTGTCTGGAGCCGGGGCCTTAGGCTTGGCCACCTACGGGGCGCACGGTCAGGGTGCTGGGGATGGAGCTGCGATTGAGCCTGGGACGACCTATGGGGTCTGATGCGGGGTGGAGTCTGTGGGAAGTAATGGGTCTTTCGTAGGCCAGACAGCCTGCCAGCCCTAAACCTTTTCAAGTCCCTCAGCCCAGTCCAGTAGGTTCCCAGGACGTGTTTCCAACAATGAGAAGCCTCCTGGGGTGCCCTTTCTCTCCAGTGTCCACCAGGGTCCTCCCAGGAGTTGAGGCATTAGGACTGGTAACATTTGCTTCTCTTTTACACAGGCGCCCAGTTTCCAGATGCCTATGGGAAGGAGGTGAAGTAACTGCGCTGGGGCTGGCCAGACTTCTGGTTTATCAGGGCACAAAGTCTGGGGTCCCTGAGGGAAGTAGGGAAGGGGGAAGCGCGAGTCTTTGGAGCAGCAAGGGCTGCAACCCTCAGGCGTGAGGATGGGCAGGCTGAAACTTCAGTTTGGGGATGGACTTTTGTCCCATGGGATCAAGGGTTCTGTGTTTCTTAGGAGGTTTCCCCGTTACTCTTTTTCTTACAGCTCTTTGACAAGGCCAACAAACACCACTTCTTACACAGCCTGGCCCTGTTAGCGGTGCCCAACTGCAGAAAGCCCCTCTGGGTAATCTTACCCCCTGCTTAACCCTGACCAAGCCCCACCAACTTCTTCTCAGTCTGCCATTTCCTTACTAATTTGTTTGCTTCCTTGTTATCTCCTTCAGGCCGGATTACTGCTAGCCTCTGGAACCACCTTATTCTGCACCAGCTTTTACTACCAGGCTCTGAGTGGAGACCTCAGCATCCAGACTTTGGCCCCTGCAGGAGGGAGCCTTCTACTCTTGGGCTGGCTTGCCTTGGCTCTTTGAACTTCCTTGTTTGATTTCTGGGTACTGTTTTGAGAATTGGAGCAGGAAGGGAATTAAAAGAGAAAGGCAAGTAAAGAACTTTGGAGTCTTTGTTCATCTAACCTCTTGGAGGAGGAAGGGTAGGGGTTATCAACTTCTGAACTCTCTCCCTTTCCTAAGGCTGAATCAGTGAGCTTTGGGTCTGGGGATTCTGTTCACCTCAAGTTAATTTGTTTGAGGTTGTTAAACTGGTGGGTACCAGAGTCAGAAAGAATGCTTGAAATAATGCAGATTCTCACTGAAGCCCTCTTTGAGGCCTGGGAATCTGTATTCTAATAAGCTCACCTTCAGATTCTAGTGGTTCAGATGCTCACAATAATTTGAAGATTACTGTAGGGTAGTGGTTTTCAGCCCTGTCATTCCACAAATGTATTGAGCACTCACTTACTCTAGAAGTCAGTGTTAAGACAAAGCAGGACAGGAGGAGTGCTGTTCCAGTAGCCCCCTCTTATTTGTGGTTTTACTTTCCATGATTTTACTTTGCATGGTTTTATCCGTGGCCCAGAAATGCAAAATAGAAAATTCCAGAAATAAACAATTCGTAAGTTGTAGATGGTGTGCTGTTCTAAGTAAAGTGATGAAATCTCATGCCATCCTGCACTGTCTCACTATGATGTGAATCACCCCTTTGTCCAGAGTTACCAGCCCATTATTTACTTAGTAGCCATCTCAGTTATCAGATTGACTGTTAGGGTATTGGAGTGCTTGTGTTTGGTAGCCCTTATTTTACTTAATAATGGCCCCGAAGCCTAAGAGTACTGATGCTGGCAATTCATATATGCCAAAGAGAAGCTGTAAAGTGTTTCTCTAAGTGAAAAAAGGTGAAAGTTCTTGACTTAAGGAAAGAAAAAAAAAAGTCATGCTGAGGTTGCTAAGACTTACAGCAGAATGAGGCTTCAGTCTGTGAAGTTGTGAAAAGGGAAGAAATTTGTGCTCATTTTGCTGTCACACCTTAAACTGCAAAAGTCGTAGCCACAATGCTTGGTAAATTCTGCGTCAAAATGGAAAAGGCATTAAGTTGGGTGGAAAACATGAAGAGGAAACATGTCCCAATAGATGGCAACCTGCCATGCCAAAAAGCGTAGAGTCTATACGAAGACTTCAGCCAACAGTCAAACAGGAAAAAACAGATAACATAAAAAAGAATATGTAGGGTTCAGTACTATCTGCAGTTTCAGGCACACATCGGGAGTCTTGGAACATATCCCCTTTCGATACAGAGGGGCTACTGTAGTCACAGTATACTTTGGGGTTCAAAGAAGGGATAGAACATCACCTACTAGGGGTCAGAAAATATTTCACAATGCTTGAGGTGAACCTTGAAAGAACTCAGTTGTGTGAAGGAAACACAGCGAACAAAGATGTGGGAGCTAAGAAGTATGGGACTAAAGGAGCTCAGACAACTCCCGGCATTACTCAACTACCTGCCTGGCACGATTCATGTGAGCTGAGTTTCTGAAAACGGGAGTGATAAAAAGTGACAAGGCAGGATGGGGTAGCTCCCACAGCATGTGGAGAACTGGGAGATATTTAGGGGACAGCATTTATTAAGTCAGTGCTCATCAAGTATTGATCATGTATCAAAAGGAAATTCAACTGTGAACAAGATAGATGCCATTCTTTCCCTAATGGAGCTTTCTGTTTAGCAGTGGAAATGGACCTTAAACAACTAAACACAAATATATCAATGGAGCTGTGCTGTTCTTGAAGGAAAAGAACGGAGGCAGTAGAACTGTGGAGGAGTGGGGGGTGTGCCTTGCAAAGCTGGAAGGAAGTGTATTCTAGACAGAAAAACTAGCTGGCAAAACAGGCCAAAAAGGAGCAGTTCAAAATCTGTGAGGCAGGAGAAAACTGCATGAGTTGGAAGAAGTAAAATCAGTGTGGCCAACACTGGGTGAGTGACTGGGGGCCTAGATGGCCAGTGTGGGCCTTGCAGGCAGACACTTGGAATTTCTTTGTTGTGCAGCAATAAATTGAAAGGTTTTAAAAGTGAAAGAGCTAGAATCTGATATGTTTAGAATATCTGGAGAACCAGTTGGAGGATGGCAACAGAGAGACCAGTCAGGAGGCCACTGAAAAGGTCCAGGGGTGAAATGGTGATGGTACGTTGGCTGAGGGTGGGAGAGGTGGTGAAAGTGATCCCATTCAGAATATAGTTTTAAGATAGTGCTGATAGGACTTGCTGATGCTTTGCACACTGAATGAGAGGGAGAGTTCTGGCTTACACACCTGATTGGATAGAGGTGCTGTTACTCAGGTGGGAAAAACCGAAGGAGGGGCAATTAGTGGGAGGCAAATCAGGTCAGTTTGGACACGTTGCTTCCAAAATGTCTAAGAGATGTTACTGGACATGCCAGGCAGGTAGTTGGGTAATTCCGGGAATTGTCTGAGCTTGTAAGAGAGGTCTGGACTCAGGTTTACTCTGCAATCCACTCTGGTCGGTCTTTCATCCCATCTCTTCCCTATAAATGCCCTTGGAAGGATCCTGTGACTTACTATGACCTCCTGGTTACCAGATCTAATGGATAATTTTCAATCTCATTTTCCTCAGCCTCTGCAGCATTTGACACAGTTGGCCACACTGTCCTTGAAACACATCATGTTGCTTCCATGACAGCACTCTGCTGCTTTTCCCTGTCTCTGTAGCCACTTTGCCAGCTTTTCCTCTCTTATGTGATTTAATTCAGTGGTTTCCAATTTTTAACTTAATTATATATTTTTAAAATATTTTATTTATTTATTTTTAGAGAGGGGAAGGAAGGGAGAAAGAGAGGAAGAGAAACATCAATGTGTGGTTGCCTCTCACATGGCCCTCACTGGGGACCTGGTCCACAACCCTGGTATGTGCCCTGACTGGGAATTGAACTGTTGACCCTTTGGTTCGCAGACCACACTCAATCCACTGAGCTACACCAGCCAGGTTTGGTGTAAATTTGGTTTCCAAATTTTAATGAAAAAATTAGAACTCTTATGTATATATATTTTTATTTCATTCTTTTTAATTTCTACTTTTGTGTATGTTTTATAAACTGCACATCAATATAATATACTGAAGTTGCATACTTAATTTTTCTGAAGGTGTGCATTAAAAAAAGTACAGACCATTTCTCTAATTGAGGATTTTTATGTAATCTCATTTAGCCCCACAACTTTAATTAGGATCAGCATGCTTTTAAATTCAGAGTGTCAATCTCCCACCTTAGTTCCTATTGAGATCCAACTCCTGTAGCAGCTGCAGTGTAGCAGTGTTAGACTTGAGTGGAGACTTGAAGCAGTTAGGTGATGAGGAGAGAAAGGGGCATGTTTCAGATCAAGGCAAGAGCTTTCAAGGCAGCCCTGAAGCAGGAGAGAGCCCGGTGCATTCAAGACCTGAAAGGATTCCTGGTGACTGGCTTAAAGATCATGCAAGGGTAGTTGTGAAAGTACTGACAACAGGGGCCAAATAGTGGGGAGACTGCTGAGAGCTTGAACTGTTTTCTGAAGATGTTGGGGAGCCACTGAAGCATTTATATCTAGGGAATGAGACATGATTTGAGGCATAGAAGATCACAATTTTTTTTATTTATTTAAAGATGAGTAAAATAAGACCCCAAAGGGAACCTCCAGAGTGGCCCAGAATGCACTGGATCTTCAGGCTCCTATCTCCCAGTTTAGTGCTCTTGATCCATTTCCATCCTTCATCTCAGGCAATGTCTGGGACTTAGGGAACCTTTAGGTGGGGGAGATCTTGGCTTCTGGAATGGCCGCCCTCCAGTAACGTGATCCCTAATACCTTACTTAGCTTTGGTCCTGCCATTGGGCTTGGCTCTTGAGGAACCAATATAAATAAGTCCTGCTTGATAATTTGTCTCTCTTATTACTACATATTGCATCCAGTCTTCTCAACAGTCCTGAAAGTTGGTGTAAGTGAAGCTAAGAGAAATACAGTGACTTGGTCTGTGTCATACAGCTAGGACCTGGGTAAGCTGTGATTCAAACTCTCTTCTGTCCAATTCCCAGAGCTAAGTTCTTTCCTTCATGCACATACCAAGAAACTCAGATTTCAACAGTGAAGACACTTTCTGGAGATGATGCCCTCCTCACGACAACATGCCTCTTGCTAAGGATCTCCTTCATCCCTCTCCAGAAGAGTAGAAGAGGAAACATAAGCTCATGGTACGGAGTCCCAATTTCTACTTCATGGATGCAAAGTGCCCAGGATGCTGTAAAATCACCACTGTCTTAGCCATGCACAAGTGGTCATTTTGTGTGTTGGCTTCTCCGCTGTCCTTTGATGGACTACAGGAGGAAAAGCCGGGCTTCCAGAAGGATGCTCCTTCAGAAGGACACAGCACTAAAACTACCCCGAATCAAGATGAGTGGGGAATCATCTCAATAAACACACTTTGTATACAACAACAACAACAACAAAACAGTGAAGACAGACTCTTTAAAACATAATTTGATACTGTGTTCACTGTTACAAGTAGAAACACATTGTAACATTGAAACAGTGGGTTTGTTTTGCCTTTGGAGACTGGGTTTTCAGCATACATAGTTAAAGGGACAAAATCATACTGGTAACAAAATAAGAGGGAGCCCTGACTGATGTGACTCAGTTGGTTGGGTGATGCCGCACAAACCTAAAGGTTGCCGGTCACATTCCCAGTCAGGGCACATGCCTGGGTTGCGGGCCAGGTCCCCAGTTGGGGGCATGCAAGAGGCAACTGATTGCTGTATCTCTCACACACTGATGTTTCTCTGCTTTTTCTCCCTCTCTTCTCCTCTCTCAAAGTAAATTAATAAAAATCTTTAAAAAATAAGAGAGAAAGAAAACAGGAGTGCCTGGAGTGCCACACTGAAGGATCTCCTGGGCCAAACCTGAGTCAACTGTGACTTTCCTTTTTCTCACATCTTACATCCAAGCCATCATCAAGTGCTGTTGTCTCAAACACAGCTGGAATCTTACCATTTCCTCCCACCTGCACTGCTACCACTCTGGCCCCTAGCCCAAGCCATCATCAAATGTCACCTAGTTTTTTGCAAGGACCTTCTTCTGCTTTGCTTACCTATAGCCTACTCTGGACAAAGGAGGGCAGGGGGAGGACACCTCCTAACACAGTAGTCCTCAGCCTTAGCTGCACATTAAAATCTGCTGAAGAATTCTCAAAAAGTTATGTCTGCATCTCACCCCAGATATTCTAATTTAGATGATATAAAGTGGGGTCCAATTTTTTTAAGCACCCCAGCTGATTTTAACTTGGGGCCAGAGTTGAGGACCATTGTTTCAGTATATGAGTCTCATGTCTCTGTCCGAACCCTCCAACATTTCCCATCTCACTCAGAGTATAACCCAATGGTCTACATGGCTGTATGTGACCTGGCCTCCTGTGACCTCTCTTACCTTCCTCTCATTCATTCTATTCCAGCTACATTAGCCTTCTTTTTGTTCACTGAACAAGTAAGGCATGCTTCTGCCTCGAGGCCCTTGCGCTGTTGCCTCTGCTTGAAATGCTCTTCACTTAAACGCTCTTCGCTCAGAAGTTTCTAAGTCTTAATCTTTGACCTCCTTTAAGTTTATACTTAACTATCACCTTCCTGGTGAAGCCTTCCTAATCCATGCTCTATTTTATTTTATGTATTTATTTTTTAAGATTTTTATTTATTTGTTTTTAGAGAGGGGAAGGCAGGGAGAAAGAGAGAAAGAGAAACATCATTGTGTGGTTGCCTCTCACATGGCCCCCACTGGGGACCTGGCCGGCCACCCAGGCATGTGCCTTGACTGGGAATCAAACCAGCGACCCCCTGGTTTGGAGTCTGTGCTCAATCCACTGAGCTACAGCAGCCAGGCCTTTATTTTATTTTTGAAAAGATTTTGTTTATTTATTTTTAGAGTGAGGGGAAGGGAGGGAGAAAGAAAGGGAGAGAAACATTGATGTGTGGTTGCTTCTTGAATGCCCCCAACTGGGGACCCAGCCCACAACCCAGGCATGTGCCCTGACTGGGAATCAAACCAGTGATCCTGTGGTTTGCAGGCCAGCACTCAATCCACTGAGCCGCACCAGCCAGGGCTCCCCATGTTTATCTTGATGAGTTTCTCCTTCATCTGCCTGATCAATAGGCAGGCACTTGAGGTCATCCTTGACTTTTTTGCCATCACATCTCATCCCCAAACAAGTTTTGTTTTTCAAGAATTATTTATTTATTCTTAGAGAGAAAGGAAGGGAGGGAGAAAGAGAAGGAGAGACACATGAATGTGTGAGAGAAACATTGATTGGTTGCATCTTGCACATGCCCCACTAGGGACCTGGCTGCAGCCCAGACACATTCCCTAACAGGAAGGCAATTGAACCAGCGACCTTTTGCTTTGTGGTACAACACCCAACCAACTGAGCCACACAGGTCAGGGCTCCAAACAAGTTCTAGATTGTCTAAATATCTCCAAAATCTGCCACTTCAATCTGTCTGCCCCAGTACCCTGTCCCCCAGACTACTGCCAACAACCCAGCCTGGCTCTCCCTGTTGTTCTCCACATTGCAGTTTTAACGGTGTTTCTAAAGCAAAACTAGACCTTAAACTTTCCTTAATTACATATGGTCTTAAAAATCTTTCAGTGGGCTCCCTGATGCCCTTGGGACCAAGTCCCAACTCCAACAGGCCATCTGTGCGCATAAGCTGGCCTCCCTCTCTAAACTCATCTCTTGCCATTCAGCCTATAAGCCCCCAAGGCACAGGACTCCCTCACACCTGCAGCCCCTGCCTAGGACCTAAAAGAAGGGACTCCTTTTGGGGTAAGCCTTTCCTGCTAACTGTGCTGCCTCTTCTGGTCTCCCTGAATCTAACATCCTGCACACTCACAACTGACACTATGTGACTGCCTGTCACTGGCGTGACCTGGCACGCCCGAAGTAACTACTGTTATTGCAAGGTATCTATATGGGTCACTGCAGCGTCAGGGAGAAGAGACAGCGAGGGAGCTCCAGGGAGGTAGAAAGGGAGCCAGGAACTAGTTCTAGAGTCCAATGAATGAATGTGAAGGGTGTTCCGCTAAGTCAGCGAGGCCCGAATCGCCCGTGGGAGAAGGAGCCTGGGGTCCGAGCGGTGCCAATTGCCCTCGCTTTCTATCAAGGGCCGTTGAGCACTGAGCGTACGCAGACGTGGCGGGGGTAGCAGGGATAGGTCTCAGCCGGCTGCCCAAGCCGGGAGAGCTTCCTTTCTGGCCCTCGGCAGTCAAACGGAAGAGGCGGGGACGCCAACCAAGCAAAGGAGCCCGAGCTCCTGTGTCCGCCGCCAGGCTGGAGAGTCGGCATCCTTTCTGCGCAAGCGCGGCTCCGAAGCCAGGGGTGGGGCCTAGATTGTCAAAGGGGCGGGGTGACATCTGGGCCCGCCTCCACTAGCTCTTGTGAGCCTCCGAGCGCTGGGCACCCCACTACTCTAGGGGCTTCAGGTGAGCTGCGGGGCGCAGAAGGGTCAGGACACCTCCCTCGAGGTCGGGCCGTCGGTCTGATTGCGGGTCCATCTGTCCTGCCAATTGCCAACAGCCGCCTCCGCGGAGAATGGGAGAACAAAGGGAGGGGGCGGTTCTGGAAACCCCAGAGGGAATCCAGGGTCCCAGGTACTCTGCCCCGACTGCTGACACTTTCGGTTTCTCCCCGAGTCAGAAAGGTGCCGCCCAAAAGACCCTGGGTGGGCGCCGGGCGCAGCTGTCTCTTCGCGTTTTCCTGTCCGTCTTTGTGTCTGTCTCTGTGTCTGTCTGGCTGTCTCCGAGCTTGCCTCCACTTCTAGAACTAAGCGCTTCCGGGACACCCACAACCCACGAGCTCCCATCCCTTCCCAATGGCAGGTAAGTAGACGCAAGGCTGAGGGTCTCCGTTATCCCTTCCCCACGGACTTGGGAGCTGGGTGTCGAACGCATCCTCTGGGAATGCGCTCGGACTGGCTGGGTGGGGCCCCTCCCTTCCTCCCAGGAAGCCTCCGCCCTGCTTCTCAGACCCACCTTTTTCTGTCTGTTCTTGCCACAGTTCCACCCCCCCCCTCCCCCGCAGCCTCGCGATCTCCCACAGGCTAAAGGGAAGGGGATATGGCCACAGGTCTCTTTCTTATCTACCCTTGTCCCCCCACAGGATACTTGCCCCCCAAAGGCTATACCCCTTCGCCCCCTCCTCCCTACCCTGTGACTGCTGGGTACTCAGAGGCAGCACAGCATCCTGGGCCAGGGCAGGCGCCATTGCCCGCCCACGTGCCTGCCCCAGCTCCTGGCTTCGCTCTCTTCCCCTCGCCTGGCCCCAGTGCCCCGGGGCCTGCTGCCCCCCTCTTGCCACTGCCAGGGGTGCCTTCTGGCCTCGAATTCTTGGTGCAGGTGAGTAGGACGTGGGGAGGGAGGAGCGACAGGGAGGGGACCAAAGCGTGCAGGCCTGCCAGCTGAGGTGGGCGTGGCCCTTACTCCCTTTCCAGATTGATCAGATCTTAATTCACCAGAAGGCTGAACGAGTGGAAAGTGAGTGGAAGGACGAGTAGGTTGGGCCTTGTGACGGGGGCAGAGATAGTGGGTTCTTGGGCAGGCGCTGGTGCCTGAGCCTCCCTGTCACCCCTTGGCAGCGCTCCTAGGCTGGGAGACAAGTAACCGGTATGAACTGCGCTCAGGGGCCGGACAGCCCCTGGGTCAGGCAGCTGAAGAGAGCAACTGCTGTGCCCGTCTGTGCTGTGGCGCCCGCCGGCCCCTTCGTGTCCGTCTGGTGGACCCCGGGGACAGAGAGGTGCTGCGCCTGCTCCGCCCACTCCACTGTGGCTGCAGCTGCTGCCCCTGTGGCCTCCAGGAGGTGGGCGGAGAGGGGTGGGTCAGGGAGAGGGTCGGGTAGGGAGCAGGCAGTAATGCGGAGGACCAATGATGGAGCATCACAAGCATGAGGCCTGGGAGTGAACAGGTAGCATTGGAGGTCTAGTGAGGGGGATAACGTGGTCTACTGAAAGAGATCTTTGGAAGAGGTCTTTTGAGGATACACAGGAGACAGAGCTGGAATGGTGAGAGCTTGGGCTAGGGTGCCCTGACTCAGCAGTAACCCTATCTGCCTCCCACTTCAGATGGAAGTACAGTCTCCACCTGGCACCACCATTGGCCACGTGCTCCAGACCTGGCATCCCTTCCTCCCCAAGTTCTCCATTCAGGATGCAGATCGCCATACGGTCCTGCGAGTGGTGGGGCCCTGCTCAACCTGTGGTTGCGGCACAGATACCAACTTCGAGGTATCGGGAATGAGGGGAAATTCCTGGGAACTTCATAAATCAAGATGGCAGCTTCTACCAGGCAGGATGGCCAACACCACTAAGGTCAAGACACTCCTACCACATTTCCAGCGTTCCTCCATTCAGAAATAGGATGGCTCCATGGTGTTACGAAAACATGACAGAGGGTTGCATCTGGATTGTTAAATGTTATTTGTTACCTGCAGCCCTGTGTTGAGGGGGGGCATAATCTAAGGCCAGGCTGGATTTAGGGTGAAGGATGATTATTGAGTCTGCTGTGGGCTGGACCATTGTAGCTGCTGTGCATGAGTCTATGAGCTCAGGCCCTGGAGCAAGCACTAAAGTATTAACACCCTGTGGCTTGTTTGCCAACCTAGAACTCCAAATGGCCCCTCCAACCTGGAATCCAGGTGATATCCTTCACACCATGTATTCCTGTCACCAGCGTAGAGCCTGGAGAACTCAAGTGGTGACAGTTTCAGGGTGAGGCCTGCGAAGCACCTTTGCTCTTCGAAGATGAAGGCACTTCACAGACCCTTGAATTCTTTAAGGGATGATTGCCTATGCAGATAAGGGAGAAACAACAGGTATAATCCAGTAGATTTTCCAAGTTATCTGATGAGGTGTCCTACTTATGGTTACTTTTAAAAATTGAGTCACCTTTCCCTGGCCAGGTGGCTTAGTTGGTTGGAGTGTTGTCTCATGCACCAAAAGGTTGTGGGTTCAATCTCTGGTCAGGGTGTGTACAGAAGGCAACGGATCCATGTTTCTCTCTCATGTCAATGTTTCTTTTTCTCTCCTCCTGCTTCCTCTCTCTCTAAAATCAATAAATACATCCTAGGTGAGGGTTAAAAACAAAACAACAAAACTGAGCCCTGACTGGTGTGGCTCAGCTGGTTGGGCACTGTCCCATAAAGCAGAAGTTCGCCAGTTCAGTTCTTGGTCTGGGCACATGCCTGGGTTGTGGGTTCTGTCGCCAAATGGGACATGTGCAAGGGGCAAATGATTCATGTTTCTCACATTGATGTTTCTCTCCCTCTCTTTCTCCCCCCTATTCTCTCTAAAAACAAATAAAATGTTTTTAAGAAAATTGAGTCCCTTTAGCAGCTGAGGGGAGATTCTGACAGAAACTGATTGGGAAAGAGACAACTCGATGATTTCTATTTTAAGATTTTTTTTTTTAATTTTTAGAGAGGGGAAGGGAGGGAGAAAGAGAGGGAGAGAAACGTCAATGTGTGTCACCTCACACACCTGTCACTGGGGACCTGGCCTGCAAACCAGGCATATGCCCTGACTGGGAATTGAACTAGCAACCCTTTGGTTTGCAGGCTGGTGCTCAGTCCACTGAGCCACGCCAGTCATGGCCTACTTGGTGACTTCTAATGGGAATGTGTGAACTGTGGGGTTCTCAGGGCCAGTCTCCCTTGTATATAATTATGGATGGTCCATATTTGGGACCATACTCTTGGAACCACAGGGTTGGCTGGGAGAGACCCTGGAGAGACCCTGCCCAGCTTGGGACTAGTCTGCAAGAAGTGCCTCGAAGGTATAGGACAGTGAGGGAAAGGGTTGAGAAGAACAGAGAAGGAAATCACATTAGTTCTAGTCACTGGAGAATGAACATAGGAAAAGGACCAGGGAGTCACTGTGAATTACTACCTACATCAGCAGGGACTATTGCTGTTGGGCTCAGAAAATTCAGTGGAAAGACCCTTGCACAGGCCCCTACCAGGGACAGAACCCACAACCCAGTATGTGCTGAGACCAAGAACTGAACTGGTGACCTTTTGCTTTGCAGGACAGCACCCAGACAGCTGAACCACACTGGTCAGGGATCAATTTGTTTTTTCACCCTCACCCAAGGATATGTTTATTGATTTTAGAGAGAGAGGAAGGGAGAAAGAAAGAGAGAAACATAAACTCTTGGAGGCTGCTAATTGCTGCCTTCTCCCCCCAAAAGGTGGGCTTAGATCCCCTCTAGTGGAGGCCTGTGTGAGTGCTGGACAGAGTCCTCACTCCTTTGCAGAGGAAAGACACCCTTTGGGCAGACATAGCCTTCTAGGAGCCTGGTTGGCTGATAGGGTACAGCCAGGGTTTTAGCAGCCTTCCTTGCCCTTTTGGCCAAGCTACTTTGTGCAGGGCACAAACTGTACCAAATGTGGGTGGCAGGGATGTTGGCAATGAAAATAAACCTAGCAACCAGCCTATGGTTGTTGGTTGCGACTAAGAAGATAAGGGAGATAATGCTGGCCCTTCAAGAGGAACAGATCTAAGTCTGAATCCTTATTTTTGCTATATACTTCACAGTGTGCCCAAAGGTGACTCAGTTTCCCCAGAAGTCACATGGAAACCCAAGGCTGTTGGGAGGATTCACTGAATATAGAGCCAGCACAGTTCATACAGGCTGACAGTGGGAGTGAGATTGGAGATAGGCAAGAGCAGTTCATCTGTTCCAACTGGGTCTTATCTTCTTCCCTCTCCCCTTCCCGACAGGTGAAGACCCTGGATGAGTCCCGCAGTGTGGGCCGCATCAGCAAGCAGTGGGGGGGGCTGCTCCAAGAAGCCCTCACGGATGCGGATGACTTTGGCTTGCAGTTCCCGCTGGATCTGGATGTGAAAGTGAAGGCTGTACTGCTGGGAGCCACATTCCTCATTGTGAGTTTGCTCCCACTGGAGGCTTTTTGCACTCCCTGGTCTCCTGCTAGGAGAGGCTCAGGTACAGACTTTATGGGGGGCTGTAGCTCTAGACCTGGGTTGCAGTGGCTGAGCCAGGCTGGCCCAGCCTCATCTCCTATTGACAGTACCCTCTCCTCAGGACTACATGTTCTTCGAGAAGCGAGGAGGCACTGGGCCCTCTGCCATCACCAGTTAGACGTTGCCTCAGGGTGAGGAGACTATCACCGCAACCAGAATCCAAGATGGTCACCTGGCCTGGCCTGGCCCTTCCTCAGAGGCAGCCTGTTTCCTCCATGTACACTACAGGGGACAAACAGGAATGCCTAAGAGGCTGGGGGCCATGGTGCCCTACCCCTACCCTATTCCCCTGGCCTCCTTCACCTGTGGCCCCCACAGAAGGGTATGTATGAGAGCCCTTCCCCCGCTACCTCTCACCACTGTCTCTGGCAATCCCTCAGCAGAAGGCATATCAGCATATTGGCTTTCAGACTTTCCCTACTCACTTCCTCCTACCCACTTCTGGGACCTCTGCTCTGGTTTTTGGAATCCAAGGCTGTGGGGTTTCACAAAGGAAGCTGGGGTGGAGAGCGTAAGCAGCACCAAAGATGGCTGATATGGTCATCCTTTGCCGTGTCAGCTTGACCACTTAGTTCAGCCTCAGACCGTGGCACTCAGAGGGGGTCCCCACATCCCCAGCAACAGCTCTAGGGCCTAGGCCCCAGCGCTGACCTCCTCTTCCCTGTGGGCCTTTCTCATAGCTGGTGCTTGCTGCAGCTTCTTCTGCCTTACTTAACCATCCCTCCTTCCATGTTCCTACAAAGGAGGCTGCATCTTTGTATGTTATATTCATATAAACTTTGTAACTTTTTGGATACTGGAAGATATATGTAATGGGAGAGGGTAGAAGAAAGAGTTGGTGTGGGAAGAAACAAAAGGAAATGTGGCAGCTGGGCGGGGTGGGGGCTGCCCATCTCGTGACCCACGCCACCAGGATCAAGTGTCCATGAGTCCATAGGAGCAACTTTCATCACCCATGATGTCCCTGGCCCAAGCCCATATGGCTGCTTCCATCCTCCAGGGTGGCCCACTGTGGTGGCTGGTGGCAGTTCAGGATGGCTGTCCCCCTGGTTCCATATGGCCACTCGATCATTCTCTGTAGCAAGCAGAAGCTTCCCATGGGTATGGTGTGCAGCAGCTCTGTTCCTCCAAGTCCTCCTCTTGGTTGGAAATGTGGTGGGCAGGTGAACCAGGTCCTTCTCTGACCCAGCCAAGGGAGCTTGAGCCTTCAGAGGCCAAGGGTAGGAGGAAACACTCATCAGGGCCCGACCCTGGGGGCTCCTCCTGTACCTGCCCATAGCAGGCACTCTTCAGGCGGGAGAGTATGCCCTTGGAGGACCTTGTTCTGGTTCTGCTTGGTCCCACACGGTCAGGCCCATGGTGCATGCTGGTGTCCACGTCTAAGGGAGCAGAGCTCAGGGCTGAGCCAGGACATAGCGACTGGCTGCTGAGAGGTCCCACTGGTAATGCTCCAAGATGCGCCGGCAGTCGGCTCTGGACCGGCTACTCAGGTGGAAGAGCTGGTCTACCTGTGGAAACAGGAGGAAGGGCAGCTGACTGCCAGAGAACAGGGACAGGAGAGGTGGGAACCCAAGAGAAGGGTCTGGCTTTACCTTAAGGTTCTGGATGGCAGAAACTACATCTCCCCCAGTGGCTCTTAGTGCCACTTGGCACTCCTGGTGGGTGACTCCATGTACACTCAGTTCCACCTGCAGGGGGACAAAGCCTCACTTAGGCTCCTACCTAAGCTTGTGACCCCTTATGGACACCGGGCCACTCAGGGAGACCTCACCTCCATAACCCTCTTCTGCAACTTGGGATCGGGAACAGTGGCTTTGCTGGCTCTGGGCGCTTCCAAGAGGTGATTGTGTTGGGGTTCTCTTTTGGGCCAAGAAGGCTGCTCCCTGGGGGCCTGGCTGAGCTGAAAAGAGCTGGAGGCAAAGGGAGGGCGAGGTAGCAGGCCTGGGGGTCTCTGGGGTGCACCTCTGGCATGTCGAAGTTCAGGTGGGCTCGAACCACCCCCTGTGGGGCAGGGGCCCAGGGACAGAACAGATTCCAGACTCTTGGAAATGCCTGCACAGTTTGGGGGGGGGACACAAAACAAAACTTGAGAGGAAGCCCAGATGCTGGGTTCTGTCTTCCCATTTCCTGTCTGTGCTATCTTCAGGTGGTCCTTGTGTTAGGTGGGACAATAAGACAGGTGTGCATAACAGACACCCAGGCGTAGGCTTGAGGACCCAAAGAACTGAGTGCATGGGGAAATGCTGTTCAGTGGAGAAGGCAGATCTTTAAGACAGCTGGGATGGATGTCAACAGGCAGAATGAGTCGGGGGAATAAGTCACGTGGGGAAATCATAGATGTAAAGGCATGGATTCAAAGCAGGGGACAGAACTGGAGGGTTGCTCTTGATCTCGGAGAACCTGGGGCCCTGCCTCCCATCAGTCACCTTTTATCCTCTGCAGGGGCATGTTCCTTCTCTGACCCTTTGCTGGAGGTAGCTCCCGAAGCTTTGCCTTTGGTCTGACCCTGTTGGAGAGTGATCCAGTTCATTGTCCACCCCAGCCCCTCAACACTTATCAATGTCCCCTCCCAAAGAATCCCTGGGGCTCCCCGGCTGACTGAAACCCAGTGTGGAAGCTCCACCTGAAAGGCAAGTCCAGCCTCCCCGCTTCTTCCTGGACCCACCCCAAGCTTCTCTTCCAGAGCAGTTGCTGAACTTGGTTGGTTCCCCCAGCCCAGCTCTGTCCTCCACTCTTTCAGGTCCTCACCCATCGGTGCTTCCTCGGCGTTGCTCTCCCCAGGCAGGGGATCCTTTATGGACCGGACAGGTGGCTGGGGAGCCTTTCAAGTCTGCCAGTGTCACTGCTGAGGCTGGGAAGCTGCCCACTTTCAATGTGCGACTGTTCTGGCCCTTCCAGGTTGTGGAGCTGGGGCTATGGGAAGAAGCACTTGTGATAGGGATGAGAGCAAGGTGGGAGTGGAGGCCAGGCTCCTGCCCGCATTCAGCTTACAAGTTGTGTGCCACAGAGCTACATCTGCCTGGAGGAAGGAAAGCCTTTTTCTCCCTAACACAATAGGGCTCTATGGGCCCATGGTGGCTCCAGCCTGGAGGCCAGGCCTGGTGGAGTTCTCAGGGCCCAATGAGGAAAGGAGGGAATGAAGCAGAGGATCACAGTTGAAGGAGCTGGGGAGAAGCAGAAAGGAAACAGTCAGGCAGGTTGGGAGGATTCATAGGGAACATGAGGCCCTCACCTGCCCTCAATGATAGTGATGGGATCACCAGGCTCCATCCTCAGAGCACCTGGCTCCGTGACGTCCCTCACGCAATGCCCCTCAGGAGGCCAGGCCTGTAGAGACAGGAAGAAAGGGTGGTTGCACTTGTGCTCTGAGTCAGAAGGGTATCATGGAGCTGGTGAGAAAGGAGACTCCTTTTTATGTACCCACTCAACAGGGTCAAATCCATACCAGGTGTGTCCTCTGTCCTGGGCCCAGGGTGGCACTATCCCTGCCCCCCAATTATATAGTCCAGTTAGGGAGGACAGACCTGGATTCCATGCCAAGCTGAACACAATCCAGGGGTCAGAGAGCAACAAAAGGGGTGGGGTGGGGGCCTATCTCTTCCTAGGGAGATCAAGTGGAGCATTATCCTATATATTGCTTTTATGCCATACCCAGGACTGTCACATCCACCTCCCAAGCACCTCTGCAAATGTTCCATTTCTCTCCAGCTCCACTGTCTTGACCCTCATTCAGACCTTTTCATATCACTTCCACTTCACAGCCATTGTCTCCTACCTGGTCTTCCCATCTTCAGTATCACCCCTTTAATCCACTCCTGCACCAAGCCAGAGTGATACAGTATGTAAGTTGCCTTGTTACTTCCCTGCTCAAAACTCTTCCATGGTTCCCAGGTGCCCTCAGAGTAAAGACTAAACTCCTTTAACAGTAAGAGTATAGGCTTCCAGTCAAGACGACAACATAGGTAAATGCAGTACTTGCATCTTCCCACAACCACATAAAAAATACAACTAAACTACAGAACAACCATCATTCAGTACCACCTGAAATCTAGCTGTGTGCAAGTCCTACAACTAAGATTATAAAGAAGCCACAGTGAGACTGGTAGGAGGGGCACAGAAGTGGAATGGGCTGGTCCCATGCCAACTTAAGGCAAATAAAAATTAGTGGTGGTATCTTGGCTGGAGGTCCCCCTTGCGGAGCGAGTGGTCCCAGCTCCACACTAGGCCTCCCACCTCAGGGTTCCAGTGCCAGGAAGAGAAGTCCCCATACCTTCTGGCTGTGGAAACCAGCAGGTATTATGGCTTGGTGAGCTGGAGGACCTCTGGAGTTCCAGACAGTTCCTCTTAAAGGTCCTGTGCAGACTTACTTGGATTCACTCATTTTGAGCTCCAACGCTGGAGCAGCAGCTTGAAAAACACCAGGGACATACAGGGAAGGAATGAAGTGTCTAATATCAGCACAAGAGCTAGAGGGGCAGCTTTCTCCCAGATAGAAATACTGGAAGAGGCCATTGTTCCTTTTCTGAGCCTTTCCCCCACAGACCTGGCAGAAGGTCAATACATATGAGTCTCCATCAACCTGGCTACCACTGTTTGCCCCACCCTGGTGATTTCCTGAGATCACACCCCATCATCTTTTGGGCCCACTCAAGTTGTTTCCAGTGGCTTATCCATACAAAAGGCCTGTCTTAGCTCATGCTTCAGACTTTCCTAAAATCTCTCAAACAAGTAACATCTGACCTTCATGTGCCCCATACTTCTCATTAAGTAATCCCAGGCCCAGCACAGGTGGCAGTTGGCCTTGATTTGCAGCATGGCCTCTTCTAGGCATCTCTAAACCCAGCACAGGTAGCAGCCATTTACAGATCACTTTGTAGCTCATGCCAGGTGGCCTCAGGCAGAACGCAAGCAGTAGCTGACTTTGGCCTGCATCTCCTGGGAGGCCCCAGAGCCAGCACACTTGGCTTCAGACCATTTTGAGGCACCATGCAACCACCTCCACAAGTGACACACTCAAAGGGCAGACTCAGGGGGCACCAGACCCCCACTGATGTAAGTTCTGATCTGTGGGGTAGACCCCTGCGTAGCTGATCCTCCACAGTGGTTGAAGCCAAACCTTGCAGTTGATCGACCTGGCAGTAAATTCTTTCAACAGCAATCAAACCTTAACTACAACACACAGGAAGGGGCAGGCACACCTGGAGTGCCCAGCTCGGGTGAATGGGGAGGCTGTGCCACTGGACCCTACAGGACACCTACTACATTAGGCCACTCTATCAAGCCCCAGAGATGCAGCAGTTCTACCTAATACATAGAAACAAACACAGGAGGCTGCTAAGATGAGGAGACAGAAACGTGGCCCAAATGAAAGAACAGAACAAAACTCCAGAAAAAGAGCTAAACACAATGGAGACAAGGAATCTAGTAGATGCAGAGTTCAAAACACTGTTTCTAAGGATGCTCAATGAACTTAGGGAAAGAGTAGATGAACTTAGAGTGTACTTTAACAGCATAAAAAAGGGCATGGAAACTGTAAAAAAGAAACAGTCAAAAATGAAGGATACACTAACTGAAATGAATAACTTACAGGGAATCAAAGGTAGAGTAGACGAGGCCAAGGATCAAAACAGTGACTTGGAATATAAGGAAGCAAAAAAGACCTAATCAGTACAGCAGAAAGAGCCCCACACATCTTGGTCATGGATCAGCCCCTCATGCTCTCCTTTGCAAATGGTCTCTGTGGCCTATTCCTGCTACCCATGATTGCACACTGAGGCCCACCAGGAGTAGCCACCAAGGTTTCCACCAGTCCCCAAGCAAGAGCATAGCAGCCATCCCCTCCAGTGCCTCGATCATGGCTACCAGCAACTAATACTGGTGCCGCCTGTGCTCCACTTTTAGTAACAGCTCCTGCGAAAGTGCCAAGTACCCTGGGGAAGACATCCCCCACCACCCAGTCTCCCCAAAGCTGACCTAGGTCATTGGTTGGTGAGCTTCTTTTTGCGGGGGGGGGGGTGGAATTCCACTCTCCTGTTCATGGTCAGTGTTTGAATCCCCAAAGCACTCAAAATCCCCCTAGGACTCCAGCAGCATGATCACCTGGGACCTGGCTTGGGAAGCCATCTGGCAGTCAGCCTGGCAAAGTCAACCCTGGGCCTCCACCTGAATGGCTACCACCAGACTTCCAGAGGCACTAGGCTCTTTTGAGCCCCTCTCCATACCCCTCCTTCTCTACCCCTTACCCCCAACTCATCCCACCCCATAGCCTAGGCAGGCTGCAACAAGCAGAAGTGGCTGGGTATTTTTTATATCAAAACAGCCTAACACCAAAAAGGAAGTCAAGAGAACCCTGTTCTTTACTACCTAAGCCACACATGAGCCTTCCTGACACAGCATAACTGTGTGCTTTCCACCAAGTGGAAAATAAACGACAAGCAGTCAGCAGCATCCCTGATGGTACTCCTGAGCTGTGTGAAGAAAGAAAGAAAAAAAAGAAAAGAAAAAAGAAAAGAAAAGAAAGAAAGAGGGAGGGACAACTTCAAGCATACCTACATTCACATCATGGGGGTGCCAGAAGGAGAAGAGGGAGAGTAAGAAATTGAAAACCTAATTTAAAAAATAATGAGGGAAAACTTCCCTAATCTGGTGAAGGAAATAGACATACAAGTCCAGGAAGCACAGAGAATCCCAAACAAGATGAACCCAAAGAGGCCCACATGAAAACACATTGTAATTAAAATGCGAGCCCTGACTAGTGTGGCTCAGTTGGTTTGGCATCATCCTGCAAAGTGAAAGGTCACTGGTTTGATTCCCAGCCAGGGCACATGCCTAGGTTGCAGGTTTGTTCCCTGATCTGGGTATGTATGAGAGGCAACTGATTGATGTTTCTCTCCCCTTCTCTCTCCCTCCTTTCTCCTCTCTAAAAATAAATACATAAATAAATAATTAAAATGCAGGTTAAAGACAAAAGAGAGAACCTTAAAAGCAGCAAGAGAAAAGCAGTTAGCTACAAAGGAGTTCCCATAAGACTGTCAGCTGATTTCTCAACAGAAATTTTGCAGGCTGGAAAGGATTGGCAAGAAATACTTAAAGTGATGAAAAGCAAGGACCTACAACCAAGATTACTGTACTCAACAAAGCTATCATTTAGAATGGAAATACATATAAAGAGCTTCACAGACAAAACACACACACACACACACACACACACACACACACAAACTAAAGGAGTTCATCACTACCAAACCAGCATTACATGAAATATTAAAGGGTCTTCTTGAAGAACAAGAATAAGGTTTTTAAAATAAGAACAACAATCTGGCTGTTGCAGCTCAGGGGATTGAGCACTGGCCTACAAACCAAATGGTTGCCAGTTCGATTCCCAGTCAGGGCACATGCCTGGATTGCAGGCCAGGTCCCAGGTTGGGGGGTACATGAGAAGCAACCACACATTGATGTTTCTCTCCCTCTCTTTCTCTCTCCCTTACCTCTTTCTAAAAATAAGTAAGTAAAATCTTTAAAAAATTTTTTAAAAATAAAATAGCCATAAATACATATCTATCAATATTTGAATCTAAAAAACACAATAAATAAATAAGCAGAGCAGAAACAGACTAACATGCAGAGAACATTTTGAAGGCCAGATAGGAGAGGGGTTGGGAGGTTGGGGGGTTGGGGGTTGGATAAAAAAGGTGAAGGGGTTAAGAATTACAAATTAGGCCCTGGTGGACTGGGTGCTGGCCTGTGAACCAAAGGGTCACCAGTTCAATCCCCAGTCAGGGCACATGCCTTGTGAGCCAGGTCCCCAGTGGGGGTTGAGTGAGTGGCAACCACACATTGGTGTTTCTCCCTCCCTTCCTGTCTCTTTAAAAATAAATAATAAATTTTTTAAATCTTAAAAAAAAAAAGAAGTACAAATTGGTAGTAACAGAAGGGTTAAGGGGGTATAAAGTACTGCATAGGGAATATAGTCAATAATATTCCAATAACTAGCAGGGGCGTCCAATCCATGGCCCATGGGCTGAATGCAGCCCAGGATGGCTATGAACGCATCCCAACAAAAAATTGTAAATTTACTTAAAACCTGTTTTTTGCTTATCAGTTTTTGTTAGTGTTTGTGAATTTAATGTGTGGCCCAAGACAAGTTATCCAGTGTGGCCCAGAGATGCCAAAAGGTTGGACACCCCTGAGTCAGATGGGTATGAGATTTATTGGGATGATCACTCAGTAAGTTATATAATGTCTAATCACTGGGGTGCACACCTGAAACTAATATAATACTGTATGTCAACTGTATTGAAAAATAAAAAATGATTTTAAAAGTTTCAAAAAACAAAACAAAATAGTGGAGTGCAGTGCTTTAGGGAATAGCTCTGAAGTCAGATAGACTGGTTCAGATCCCAGCTGTTCCTCTTAGGCAAGTCCCCTAAACTGTCAGTGCCTCAACTTTGTGATCTGTAAAGTCAAGATCACAATGACCTTGCTGGGTTGTTGTGAGAATCAAATGAATGAACATGCATAAGGGTACATGTAAGACACTTAGTACAGTATCTTACACAGATCAAGTGCTCTATATGTTAACTCTGGTTATTTATCATGCCTTGCAAATACCTCCATGGGGCAGCTCCTGAGTACCTCCACTGCCTTTGTTACCTGTACTACCCCTACCATGCTGAAACACTCCTCTGCCTGTCAAACACCCACAGCAAACTACTCTACTGCTCTCTGCTCTGTACTCCTCCTTCTCTGGCCCAGCTTCAGCCTGCAGCCCTTCAGCCTACATCTGTGTAGCCCCAAACTGCTCCCCAGGGCTCTTAGCATCCTGCAGGTAGGGGCTGAATCTGTTCTGTCCTAGACCCCAGCCCAGGAGTCAGTATTGTTAGTCTTGTGCATGGAACCCTAGGAGAGAAGATGAGGGGAAGAGAGACTGAGTGTATCTGGGGAGGCAAGGGTTCCCACCTCTTGGATCAGCTCCTCCAGGCAGGAGAAGCTAGGCCGATCAGCAGGGTCGAGGGCCCAGCAGTGCAAGGCAAGGGCGTAGAGAGCCCTGGAGCAGAGAGGAGGCCTAGGCAGCCGGGCTTGGTCCTTCTCCAGCCGCTGCAGGATGAGGTAGGGCGGGACCCAGGCCCAGGGCTCCTTGCCCCCAGAGAACATCTCCCACAACGTCACCCCAAACATCCACACGTCCGAGGCAGAAGAGAAGGCCCCCTGGCGAAGGCTCTCTGGAGCACACCTGGGGAAGTGGAGATGAAGGGGGCTGGATCTGTGCCCCTCCGAGGTCCCCTGTGCTCTCATCTGCCCCTGAACATGGCCCCTGTGCTCTCATCGTCCTCAGAAGTCCTCCTTTCCAAGGCCTTCCAGACCCACGCACTCCTTTGGGCCCAGTGTCCCTCAGAGGAACAGTTCCCTCCACACTCCTTCAGCTAGCTACTGCATGCCAGATCACCACCCTCCCAGCCACCTTCGGAGACCTATGCCCCCAGGCCCAGCCCTTACCACCCTTACCAGGCATAGGGGATGGGGCGGGGCCCACCCATAATGTAACGGCCCAGGGCACCGCCCAGTGGCCGCATCAGCCCAAAGTCAGCCACTTTGATCGTGCACGGTGAAGCTAGCAACAAGTTGCGTGTAGCAAGGTCCCGGTGCACCAGTCCGCGGGACCCCAGGTACACCATGGCTCCCGCCAACTGCCGCAGGAAGAGGCACAGCAGGACTACAGGCAGCGGGGGTGAAGGGGCCGGCGCGGTCAAGCGCGCGTGCAGGGAGCCCAGTGGTGCCAGTTCCATAACCTACAGGAGCACAACGCCTCATGAGCGATGGTCCGGCCCCACGGGCCTCTGGCCACCCACTCTCCTGTCTCACTTCAGCCCCGGGGCTGTCCCAGGAGCCAGGGTCAGGCCTGCTCACCATTTGCAGAGGCTGGCCCAGTACGAGTCCATGCAGATGCAGCAAGTGTGGGTGCTCCAAGTTCATCATGACAGACACCTCTCGAAGGAAGTCCCTCAGCTCTGTGCCTACCGGACCTTTGGGAGCCACCCGGAGGGACTTGATAGCCACCGGGACCTAGGGGTGGGGGAGGTACCATCAGACACCCTAGGGAACAGCTATCCCAGGGTCAGAGCAGGGCTTGCAGCTGACCCAGGTACCCACAACGAAGTAGGCTCCGTGAGTACTCACAGTCTGACCGCTAGGCAGTGTCCACAGCCCACGGTGCACCACGCCAAAGCAGCCGGAGCCCAACAGCTCCCCCCTGCTCACAGCACCATCTGGGATCAGACACTTTAGTCCCCCCTCTGGCTCAGGGAGGAATGAAGGGCTGTCTGAGGGTGGGGTGGTCTCCTTCTGCTCAGGAGCAAACCCCCCAAGGATCTGAAACAGCAGTGAGAAATCAAGTGTGTGGAACCCTGCATACCCCTTCCACTCAGCTCAGCCCATTCCCCAGCCTAAGCTAGCCCTTTAAACCTCTCACCCCCACCCCTAAACACATACCTTGTAGACCCAGTTCTTAGGCTTATTTCCAGAACGGTGCCTCTTCACAGCTTCAGCCAGTCTGCGCTGGGCTGGGGGAGGCCAGAATTAGAGGGCTGGAGTAGTATGAGGGGAGGGGTGGACACGATGCAAGGAATTTAAAGGCAAGAAGAGGGCTGGTATGTGGAAGAGGGAGTGGGGGAGGCGTGTAGCAGCTAACAGGTTGTAGGAGGAGAGACTAGGGCCTTGGGACAGAACTCCCTCACCAGGCCTGCCCATGCCAATGCCATCCAGGTCCTCAGGTCTCACATAGTCGAAGTGCTCTGGCCGGGTAACATTCAGCTTCTCAAGTATGGATGGGTAGAACTGGGCCAGCTGGATGTCCCGGAGTAGCCTCAGCAGCCACAGGGAACCTGCCTTCGGGAGCATGTCTAGAGAAAGAACTCCGACTCCTCAGGATAATGGTATACTCTCCTCCAGACACACAGCCCAGGGTAGGCACCTGAGACACTCAGATACCAGAGATGTGGTTCCCAGGTCCCCCCTCAACCATCAGAAGAAACACTCAGGAAGAAGGAGAGACACATCAGAGAGAGCCAGGTATCCTGCCACTCACACAGACAAACTTCAGGAGAAATGCTCCCCATACCCAATCCTGAGGTCTTCTACCATTTTCACCACTGAGAAACCTGCCCTCCTTCGCACCTGAGATTTTAGCACCATAGATTTGAGGTATGTTGCCCTGACCACTCTTTAAAAAAAAAAGATTTTATTTATTTATTTTTAGGGAGAGGGGAGGGAGGGAGAAAGCAAGGGAGAAAAACATTAATGTGTGGTTGCCTTTCGTGTGCCCCCCACTGGATACTTGGCCCAAAACCCAGGCATTTGCCATGATTGGGAATTACACTGGTGACCCCTTGGTTTGCAGGTGGGGGCTTGATCTACTAAGCCACACCAACGAGGGCCCCTGCTCACTCTTGAGATATTATGGCACAATGCCCCTGTACTCTTAGGACACCTAGAGACACTACCCTTTCAGATCTGAGATACCCTAGTGCACACACTTGCACACACCTGAGACACCTTATATATATGTGGGACATTTTGATCTACCATATATATACCAGAGATGCCCAGATATGCTAACTACACCATACCTCAGACATACAGATACAGACAAACATGTGTGCACAAACACACAAAGGCACACTGCCTCCCACACCCAGATGCACTGCTATACACACACATACACTGACACATACAGATACGCAAAAGATCCATGTCAGATACTGACACACAAAAGATGCCTGAGACACCCAGATGTGTCCTCTCACTTCTGAGATGGTCCAGTGTGCTGCCATAAACTACCTGGCTTACTGCCACATACCCTCTTACATACCTGTACTTGAGACAGGGCAGTTCACTGCCCTCTAAATACATTGCCCCAAGGGTCTGAGACACCAAGGTCCACAGAAACACACACAGCACAGAAGGCACTGAGGAACAGCGTGCACATACACCTGAGTTCTGCAGGTACACTTACCCCTCATGCCGGAGACAGTCAGGTAACTGCCTCTTTACACAGGAGGCAGCAACATTTAAAATCAAATCAGGCATTTGTGGTTTAAGTTCAGGTACTGCCCACGGTCACCTCAAGTCCAGGTAGGGAGCCCCGCCTGCACACCTGAGTCACTCGGTCTAACTTAGCTTCAAGGCAACTAACTCCATCAGCCTTTATGAAATAAGGCTCTAGGCGCTCTGGGTGGCGGCTGCCTGCGCAGCCTGCACAACTCTTCCTTACATGCACCTGGATTCTACCCCCCCCCCACACACACCCACACACTTAGTCAAGTCCAGAGAAGGCGGAGGACCACAAGCTGGGGCCCATTTGGAAACACAGAGGTGGGCTTGGAACTGGGCACGGGCAGGGGCGGGGGAGGAGAAAGCCCAGGACCCTGGGCTGTCAGGACCGCTTGCAAAGTGGGAAGAGGAAAGCAGGAGAAGGGGGGACAGGAGGAAAAGCTCCCGCAGAAGGAAAGGACCGAGGAGGGAAGGGCAGAAGAAGGGGGGTGGGGCAGACAAGCTCAGCACCTGGGGAGACACCCCAAGCGATAGCTTCTCCGCCACCTGCGCCAGCTGCAGCTCCAACCCCGGCGCTTCAGCTTCCCAGGACCCTCACCTGGCAAAGGCGGAAGCCGCGGCTACAGGGCCTCCCGAGCTGCCGGACTAAATCCCGAGAAGGGCGGAGCCTGAGGCCCGCGAAGGGCGGGACCTGGCAGCTGGCCAGAGCTGGCCTGCGCCGCTCCCCAAGTCCCCCAGTGAGCAATGGTGAGGGTTACAAGGGCGGTTGTCGGCCTCTCCCTCTGCCAGCTCAGAGGCTGAGCAATCTCCCTTCTGTCCTTTGCTTGCCTTCCGTCACACTCTCTCCACCTTCTCCCCCTCTTTCCAGCCTTCTCCAAAGAACTTTTCACCGCTCCCCAGAATTTCTCCTTTGTGCTGTCCCCCACACCCCCTCTCACCAAATCCTCACCCCTCTCACCAGAGCCCCACCCCTTAAATGAATAAGCATCTGATGGAGCTATCCTGCCCCGGCACTAGGAAGATAAGGCTAAACAGGCCTTAGTCCCTGACCCCTAGAGCTCCCCAGCACTCTAATGGAGAAAGCTGGCAGCACAGGATGTTTTGAAACGAAGCCAGGGCAGAAAAGTGCTGATAGTGGTACAGAAAGTCAGCCCCCCTTCTAGACAGAGTCCAAGATTCAAGCCATTTTCCTTTTCCCAGCTCTGAAGTTCAGGACCTCTTCTGGAGCTCCCCAGAGTGAAACCCATGGGAAGTCTTGTATGTGTGTGTGTTGGGGTGGAGGCAGAGCTTCTCAGGGGCTCTTCAGCCCCATCCCAGCTTGGTACCTAGTCTTGTGGTCAAAGGCAGGACTCCAACCCTGGCCGGGTGGCTCAGTTCCTTGGAGCGTCGTCCCCTATACCAAAAAAGGTTGTGGGTTCAATCCCAGTCAGGGCACATACCTGGGTTGGGAATTTGATCTCCAGTTGGGGAGTGTACGGATCAACGTTTCCTTCTCACACAGATGTTACTCCCCCCCACACACACACTTTCTCTCTCTCTAAATCAATAAGTATACCCTCAGGTGAACATTTAAAAAAAAAAGTAAAAGGCAGCATTCCATGCATCAGGACACCCCTCCCCAGCACGGGCACCTCCTGGCCTCATTCTGGTATAACCTCCCTCTCCCCATGTCACCTCTGCTGACCCCCAGGGCTCTGTGCATTGCTACTTGGCCTGTGGCTGCAGGGACATAGCCCAAGACCTTGATGAAGGCTTTGAGAAGGAACATGCTCTCTTTCTTTCCCTCAGGGGTTCTCAGGAAGCCACCAGTCTTAGGACATCTTTTCTGTCTTCTGTCCTAAGGCAGGATTTGTGAGCATAGCAGCTATAGTCCTCAGAGTCCCTTGGAAGGAAAAGCCCCACCCCATCTTGCTACACTCGGGATCTTCCAGCATTGATGGGAAAAATCTTAATAGTTCACAGTTCCACCTGTACAGTCTTCTTGCCAATTCTCTTCCCTCGAACTAGGCCAGCTCATCACACCGTAATTGCTCCCTCCATATCAGTCATCCCTGATATACGGTGGGCTCCACAGGGTCAGGGCTGAGTCTGTCTTGTTCATCTTGTGTTCTAGGTACCTGGGACAGTGTAGGCATATAATAAGTGCAATGAATATTTTGAAAAAGCCTGCTTAGTGTAATTGTTATTTCTTTGTAGCTGATCTCTTTTCTCCCTGCTTTTAGAATATTAGTGTTCTATAGTTCTATTACTAAGTATCTAGGTATGGATTCTTTCCTATTTATTCCTCTCAATATGTTGTGTTTCTATATCTATGAATTTGCATCTTTCATCAGTTTTGGAAAATTCTCAGTATCTCTTCAACTATTCTTTTCTCCATTTTTTATGTTCTTTCCTTTGGGGACTCTGATTAGAAGTATGCTAGACCTTTCCATTCTGTCCTCCGTGCCTTTTAACCTCTCTTCCATGTTTCCATTCTTTTTGTCGGCATGATGCAGTCCAGGTAACTCTTCGCCTCCATCTTCTAGTTCACCAATTACCTCTTTGGCTATGTCAGATGTGCTGTTGAACCCACATACCACGAGGTGTTTTTTTTCCCCCCTGTTGTTATAGTCATATGAACATTGCTTTCTGTGATCACAGTACTTTATTGAGGTATAACTTCCATTTAGTAACACATACAGATTTAACTGTATAGATTAAAGCATTTCAAGAAATATACACATCTGTGAATGCAGATAAAGACCCAGAAAGCCCAGAAAGTTACCTTGTGCCCATTTGCAGTCAATCCCATTCCCCAGAGGCAACTACTGTAACAGGGTGCAGCCTAGAGGGGGGCCCCAAATAGGGATTTGGAATGGGGTCCAGAACTCAGGGCGTCTAGGAAATACTAGGATGTCCTCACTGCCCCCCCCACAGGTGTGGGTTGGTGGAAGGGACAAATGGAGCAGGGCCACTGAGAGCTGTTTTGCATAGCAGCAGCCTTGAAGCTAACCTCTGGTGTGGTTATTTAACATATCTATAACCTTTAACTAGTTGCATAGATATGTTAAATAACTGTGCCCCTGCTCTGAGCCAGGGGAATGGAAATAACTTCCCCACCAAGACCTAACTGGGGGCAGGTCCCCTGAGTTACAGCGCCTGCGTGGAAGCTTGGAGAAGACTGACTCCATGACATGGGGCCACACCTGCCCAGATCCACGATGGCAGCCCAGTAAAGCTGAAAGGATATGAGAGTGCTGGCAAGTGTGGCCAATTGTGGGAGGAGTTGGAAATGAGGCTGCAGAGGAAGATTGGCACGGGGATTTAAACCCAGATGTGGCAGCCATTGGAGAGAGAGGATCACTTGGCTTTGCCAGAGTGGGGACTCCCGCAGCCATTGTGTAGAGAAGACCTCGAGGCTGGGGCAGAGGAGGGGAGAACCACGCAGTTTTGGATGAGTGGAGACTCCTGCAGCCATTGCTCAGGGAGAGAACCACGCAGCTTTGCCAGAGTGGGGACCCCCGCAACTTTAGTAGGGGTAACCACCACCTGGCTTTAGCAGAGATCCCGGCAACACAGCTGATGGTGCCGGGAACCAGGGGAGGCCTACCAGCTGAGATGGAGTACTGGGAAGAACCAGGGGCTGCCTGAGCCGCAGACTTCTAGTTCTTTTCCTGAGATACGATACCCCAGACTGGGCAAAGGGGGAAGGAAGGACTGTGTGTGTTTGTGGGTGTTTTAAGGGACTTTGGGATTTTGATGAAGACATTAGGTCACTACTTTAAGTCTGTATAGCATTAAATAAACATTTTCTTTCCTTTTCACGAATGTCTGGCATTGAGAAATGTCTTTCCTATAAGGTGGCAGACATAACAAACCTTGGGGTTCCTTTTGGGTAATAGTATATCGGTCCCCCTTGCCCCCGCCTTGTGTTCAGTAACACTACTATTCTGATTTCTGAAACACACAGATCACTTTTGTCTGCTCTTGATCTTATCAGTGGAGTTAGTGTTTATTATTTGCATTTAGCTTCTTTCATTCAACACGTGTTTTAATTCTTTTTTTAACTTTATTTTTATTGTTGGCACTATTACAGGGGGGTGTTTCCATTTCCCCCCTCCCCCTTGCCCACCTTCATCCAGTCTCTGCTCTCCCTTCCATCTGGCCATCACCACACTGCTGTCTGTGTCCATGGGTCATGCATGTATGTTCTTTGGCTGATCCCTTCACCTTCTTTCATCCAGTCCCCCTTCCCCCTCCCCTGTGACAACTATCAGTCTGTTCCATGTGTCCATGTCTTTGTTTCTATTTTGTTCATTGGTTTTACCCCACACATTTTTTAAAATGTATTTTATTGATTATGCTATTACAGTTGTCCCATTACCCCCCTCATTCCCCTCCACACTGCACACCGTGTCTCACCCACATTCCCCCCTTTAGTTCATGTCCATGTGTCATAAATTCTTTAGCTTCTACATTTCCCATACTATTCTTGCCCTCCCCCTGTCTATTTTCTACCTACCATCTATGCTACTTATTCTCTGTATCTTGTCCCCCTCTCTTCTTCCACTCCCCTGTTGATAACCCTCCATGTGATCTCCATTTCTATGGTTATGTTCCTTTTCTAGTTGATTGCTTAGTTTGTTTTTGTTTTTGTTTTAGGTGTGGTTGTTAATAATTGTGAGTTTGCTGTCATTTTGCTATACATGGTTTTTTTTGTCTTCTTTTTCTTAGATAAGTCCCTTTAACATTTCATATAATAAGGGCTTATGGTGATGATGAATTCCTTTAACTTGACCTCATCTGGGAAGCACTTTATCTGCCCTTCCATTCTAAATCAAAGTTTTGCTGAATAGAGCAATCTGGGATGTAGGTCCTTGCCTTTCATGACTTGGAATACTTCTTTCCAGCCCCTTCTTGCCTGCAAGGTCTCTTTTGAGAAATCAGCTGACAGTCTGATGGGAACTCCTTTGTAGGTTACTGTCCCCTTATCTCTTGCTGCTTCTAGGATTCTCTCCTTCATTTTTACCTTGGCTAATGTGATTATGATGTGCCTTGGTGTTTTCCTCCTTGGGTCCAACTTCTTTGGGACTCTCTGAGCTTCCTGGA